TTCTACAAAAAAAATACTGCTTTAAACAGTTTAAAACCTCCATTTATATAAATGGTTCTAACTGAAATAATGTCAGCATTTATGGATTTCTGAAATTAATTTATAGCCTTAAAAAAAATAAGAAAAGTATGCTGAAAACAACTTTAACAAAAATTAACTTATTTTTGAATCGTGATTACATTAAGAAAAGTAAAACTAAGATAAAATTATTACTTTACCTCCCTCCCCCTCATTTTTTTTTATTTGCACAATTAGCGTAGTTACGTTACTTACAAAGTGGCGGATGGCGTTTTTTTTTTTTGACTGGGTAATCTAAAAACCTGCGATAGCCCCTGCACACACAAACGCACTCACGTATATATCTTCAAGACATCCTTATCAAATAACATAAACCGAGCTTTTATTATTGTAATAAAAACCAATAAGCATTTTCTGACAAATTATAAAATCAACACATATACATATTATAATAAACCTTTAACAAATTAGAAAATCAACACATATAAAATAAAGAAAGGAAATCGAATTTTCATGAGGATATAAAGTATTCTAAAAAGTAGAATACTTTATATCCTCAAAAAAAACGAAGAGATATCAGTACCGAAGAAGAGATATCAGTACGAAGAAGAGATATCAGTACCGAAGAAGAGATATCAGTACCGAAGAAGAGACATCAGTACCAAAGAAGAGATATCAGTACCAAAGAAGAGATATCAGTATCGAAGAAGAGATATCAGTACCGAAGAAGAGATATCAGTACCGAAGAAGAGACATCAGTACCAAAGAAGAGATATCAATACCGAAGAAGAGATATCAGTATCGAAGAAGAGACATCAGTACCAAAGAAGAGATATCAATACCGAAGAAGAGATATCAGTACCGTTTAATAATATATAAAAGTAAACATAATAGAAAAAGTAAACTAAAATAGTAGACAAGTTTCCGAAAATTCATTGAATATAAAAGAAGTTGCATTAGCATCATTGAGATATAGAATATCAAATAGATCTGTTGCAATTTTAATCCTAACACTGAAAGCAGCTAAAGAGGCAGGTTTTCTTAAAAAGAATGCGTCTGACGGTGAATTGATTTCAGATTTTGAGAAAATTGAACTTTTTAAAATTGAAAATACTACAAGTATTTAAATATTTTGTTTACACGTATCAATTATTTTTTATTTTTTATATATCATATCTTTATCTATATCATTTATAAAATGGTATAGATATAAACAGTGACTTGTAGACCTATTTAATGGCCCCAGGCAGACTTTCTTGTGAGGCCCCCAACCAAAATTTTTTTACCAATTTTAATGTATATTATTACAATGTAGGAAATCATTTCAAAACACCTTCAATTAACTTTATTTCAAGAAAATTTTTACAACTTGACATATTCTTCCTATTTTGCAATGTAAACCTTCTGGCCTTAATTATTGCTAACTCTCTTATTATTTCCTTGTATTTTAGACAAGTGCTTATTTCATGCTCAATGCTCAGTAATGCTAGCCCATTGAGTCGCTTTGTAACATGGTGGTCCTCAAATATGTTTCAATCAATTTAAACTTGGAGAAAGATTTTTTCACTGTAGCAGCAGTGACTGGAATTGTCAAAAGAATTTGAAGTGCTATACAAAAGTAAGGGTATAGCTCTGTCATATTTTTCTCGGTAATATATTGTACTTCAATTGGTGATGTCAAATCAACTGGTAGTAAGTTGATAATATTCGAAATTTCCGTTGAGAAATTGTTTTTCGGTCTTTCTCATTCGAGGTTGAGGCAGTATATACAACTGCAATTTTCTGAGCTTCAAGTAACAAACTGTCAAAATTATTTCTAAGAACATTGAGAGCTACTTTACAATTATTGATATATTGCCTAGCTAATTGAAGGTCCATTTTTTCAAACTGCAAGTACTTGCTTGCAATATTATTCTGCAGCAGGAGTTCATACCATACCACATGATAAATAATTCGTTTTTTGAAGATCTCAGTTTAGCAAAGGTAAAGGAACCACTTGTTGAGTCTTATAATTCTTCTAGTGCCTTCAAAATTTTAGGTAAATAGTTTTTAACAACTTTTACACTTTCTATTCGAAATTCCCAGTGTGTCTCACTCCATTTCTTTGTTGTAGCTCCAACACATTGTTCCATGATTGTCCATCTATGTGGTGATGCTGAGAAAAATGCATACAAGCGTTGAAGATATCCAAAAAAACAACTTTGGGGATTGCATTTGCCTGCATCAGAAACAGTGAGATTTAATAAATGGACACCACACGGAGAGAAAAAAGCCAAAGGGTTCTGTTACAGAAACCTATCCATTTTCATATCCTTGTCCAATGCAGTCAACAATATATATGTTATTTTTAGTCAGAAAATTAGTAATTAATTTATTGATTCCTTTACCTGTTTGATCATCAGCTACCAGGAAGCCCAAAAAATATTCTTTACTTGTTGCAGAACTTTTTAAAGTTTCGACAAAACGTACCACTACAATCATTTGCTCTTTATGGGACAAGTTTGGAGTGCAATCCAATATGAAGGCAAAGTATTTTGCCGTCTTTAGACAATGAATAATTTAAGTTTTCACTTTTCTAGACATAAGTTTGATTAGCTCATTTTGAATCCTGTTGCTTAAATAACGATTTGGTAACTGATTGTTGGTTACTCGACGAACATGCTCCTGCATGACACTATCAAACTTTGCCAATAACTCCACTAGGCCAAGAAAGTTTCCATTCCCATAAGCAAAAGGTTTTTCCTCACTGCCACAAAAAGCCAAATTGTTTTTTGCCTAGTATTGAATAATTCCTACAATTCTCTCAATTAGTTATCGCCAGTATTGATGTTCTTGCTGAAAGATACTCTGATTCTGTTGACCGATTGTACTGTACTTCATTTTATCCAGAAATTGTTGTGCTCTTGTGAACGATCATACTCACTTAACATGGAATAAAAGTTTTCCCAATCACGAAAGCCACTAGTACTAAGTTTTTGTTTATCGACACTAAACAACTTGTAGCAGAAATAGTGTACAGCATCTGCTTTTTTTGAGTATACAAGCCATGATCTTGTTATGGTTTAACCATTTGTCAGAAATATTGTAGTTTGAAGCAAAAATCTTCGTTTTGCTTTGGAATCGGAAAAGCAACTCTTTGCGAAAGCATAATATTTTACCTGTATTGGTCCTGATAGAACTAATTGTTTTCGGAGATGAGACAAATCATCAGGCCAGTCTGCAGGATCTGAAGAAATCTTGTGAAGCTCAACATCGAGAATTTTTATTAGTGTCAGTTCCCTTATGATGTTTTAATTGATTCAGGTTCTGCCGAAGGGTTCTGCACAAAATTATTGTCCTCACCATTTTCATTAATTGCTGTTGCATCATCAACTGCCCATGTTATAGATTTTTAAATGGGTAAAACTTGATTTTTGTGTTGTGGTCGTGTGAAAAATGAACTAATTTTTGGCTAAAGTTCAATCTTTTTTCATCCCCTTGTTTTTTTTCACTTGCCAAATCCACTTGCATAGTTTCGACTCATTCTGAAAGTCTACAGTTTTTAGCACAAGATATCAACACTACACAGTTTTCGACATGTTTTGTATCATTGACTGTATCACGGACATACTGAAAGCAATATACACCGCACCAGTCTCTCCAATTTTGTCTAAGAGTGAGCAGTATTGATGCACAAAGAAGATCACGAGCATAGTACTACATTGAGCAATGTTGTAATGGTCTCCACTTCAAAGACATTTACTATAAAATTGGACGAATATTTCGTAAATTAAATTTTAAATTTTATTGTTTTGTTTTTTTTACTTTAAAATTTTGAAAATATTTGAAGCCCCTTCAGACTCCTTAGACGTTGGGGCCCCAGGCAGCTGCCTGGCTTGCCAACTATTAGGCACGGTTCTGGATATAAACTATCTGGCTTAAAAACCAAATAATGGTATTCTTGTAACATTTGAACAATCTCCTAGTTTTGGAATTATATTTAAATTTGGGATTGCAAACTTTTTGATATATTTTTGTTCCCAGTCTTCAAGCAGCAAAATTTATACAAAACAGTCTCATTTCACATAAGAATAAAAATACATAAAATTGGAGTTAGAAAATTCTCGGCAAGTGAAATTTCTTTGAAGCCATTTCTGTGAAAAGAGTTTGCACTCTATAAATATATAAATGAGTTTATATAGTTATAGTTTTTTATTGTATAAAAACCATAAATATATAAGCTGTTTACCTTATCGCAGGATTTTCCAAAATGATAAAACTTATTTTTTTAAATTACAAACGACTTTTTCTTCGAAAGTTCGAAATTTTTTTTTTTAAAGTTTGATTTATCACCTTTACTAAGAGCTATCTTTGGATATACACATTAAAAAAAAAAATTATAAACGTAGGAAAGTTCAGTAAAATGTTAATAATTTATGCGTCACTGCATTAAATGATTACAAAAGTTTTACACAACATTTATATTAAACATTTTTAAAAACCGTTTTTAGGGCACTGGACCAAAAAAAGACGTTCAAAAGACGTCTTTTTATGGTCCGGTGCGCATATTTTGAAACCCTATACAGAGATATGTATAGGGTTTCAAAATATGCGCACTATAGATAAGCCTATTATTATTAAAGCCAAGATATGCCTATTCTGAGCCTGATTTGAACATTGAAAGGATGTAAATTATCTGGGCTAATTTTAAATTATAAGGTTTAATTAGAATAGGCAGAGATATGCCTATTCTAATTAAACCTTATAGTTTAAAATTAGCCCAGATAATTTACATCCTTTCAATGTTCACAATAAAAGGAAATTGTAAACAACAAAGAATAATGTATTAATGATGCAAGTTATAGGTTGTTAACCAGCATATTTGTTTCGTTAATCGTGTTTTATTGTAACATATTTATTATGTATTTTTATGTATGTCTGAACTGAATAACTGAAGACTCAGAATGTATTAAAACAAAAAAACAAAAATTAGATCATGCGTGTTTATACTTTTATACCATATTCAAATTCTAAATACACCAAGAAAAATAATTCAAGTAATAAAACAAATATATTTTAGAAAATTTTCGACTTATAAAAGCCAGATAACATTAAACGAGATAAAACTTTCTTTTATTTTCTGGTTGAAGAGGTCTAATATTCTCAGCTAGCGGTTGGTTCCAACAGTTTTGAGCTTTTTCAAGTTTATTTAACTAAAAAAAATTTTTTGTTGTAGTAAAGACTTAATTAAAAACCAGTCGTATAGCAATTTAATATAAGTATATAAACCAACTTACTGTCAATTAATAGTCTGGGTTTTACTCCAGATCAGATATGAACAGTTATTTTGGTGAACTATTTTTGAAAATATTTTTGAAATATTCAAATATATTTTCAAAAATATATTTGAATATTTCAAAATTACTTTTAGAAATATTCTTGATTACAAGTATAAAAGAGACAGGTTACAATAATAAAAAAAATTTTATATTTTGAATAGGTTAAAAAAAAAAAAAAAGAATCTATTGAACTAAATTTTAGAGACGTTCAATCAAAACTTTTTAAAAACTTATTCATTTACTCGTTGTTTTGTTACGACTATTATTCGGGTCTTTGTTTTGTTACGACTATTATTTGGGTCTTTGCTTTAGCCGAATCTAAAGCAATCTAATAAAGTCTGTTTAGTAAACATTTTCGTCCATTCGTATTGTTTTTCTCGTAAATGTTGCATTCATAGCTTCTTGTGCTTCTTCAGAATATTCTCTGATAAATTTTGATAAAATTGGATAAATATAAGTATCAATTATTTCTTTATGCATTATGGGTATGGGTATTATATATTATAATGCATTATGGGTAATTGGAATACCTTATATATATACTTTCCATATTGTTTAATGTATATATGCCCAGGTTCTATTGCATAGATTGCAAATTTATCCAAATTAATTTTGTAACCTAAGTTTTTGCATTGTAGGATAATTTCTAACAATTTCTTTGTATAACTAGTTTGCTGCTTGGGTACATTAATAAAGAGTGAGGCAAAAGGCTTTATTATGTGGCTTAACTGTTTATTTATGCTATTTAAAACTATAATAATAAAAACAGTAAAACTATTTAGTGCAGAAAAGAGGTAAACTACAAATGTACAAAGAAGAAATTGATGTAACATAAATTAAAATTACTTTTTTGTAAATAGTTTATATTCTTTTAGAAACGCGTTTGTTAAAAATATAATTTTATTTAATAGAGCTGAAAATGACAATTGAAAATTGTAAAAATATCGTTTTTACCTCAATTCACAATTTATCAACATTTATTCATTTAACTTTAGGTAATTATTATAATTAAAAAGTAACTGAGTATAGTTTAATGAAAATATTTCACATATATCTTTAAAAGGTCATGCGGTCATTTAAAGATATATGTAAAATTACCCCAAGATTATATCTACCGGAATTTTCAAGGAATTTCACCCTTTTAACTAAACTAAAGGTTTAAACGGGTGAGAACTTTTTACGATTAAGTTATTCTTTATTTCAAGTTAATAACAAATGAGTTTTTTATTTTTTCAAAAAACAATCTTTATTTGAGTGGATATTACTTGAAAAAAAAAGTTAGTTAAATGAACAAAGCTATTTAGAATTAAAAAAAATATTAAAATAAAAAAAGTAAGCGTTTGTTTAATCTTACTATTTTCTTATTTTAAAATTTTATAAATACATACCGCTTCTTTGGTTATTTTTAACGCAGGTTTTATATAAACAATCCAATCAACATTATGACAAGGAGGTGTTGTGAGTGAACCTTTGTAGTTAATGTATTGAGCCTGTGAGTCTATCGGTAGAAAATAACTTAATGGAAAAGCTTCTATCCAGATATGGTTAGTCTTTCCTAAAACGTAAAGAAATTAGATAATAAGTTTTTTATAGCAGTAATATTACTCACAAAAAATTGGCACTATAAAAAATACTCGGATTGCTGACAGCATCTGCATTTCTTGCAAATAATTCTGTTAGAAATGATGACTTTTTCTAAAATAAAAATGAATTGCTTAAAATGATTGAATAATGATCTTAGCAATAAAAATGTTTGTTAAAATTATTAATAATAATATGATATTAATCAATATTCATAATTTTTATGAAAAACAAGAAAAAAACGGATATTTTTATAAAGTTAAATATACATATAAGACATGTACCAGAAAAAAATCTGTGCATGTTCTGAAGTGGTGTTTACGGAAACAATTAATTACCTAATTGTTTTAAAATGTCATTGTATAAGTATTATTCAAAATTTAAGCAACACTAAATTCGAAACAATTAGTTTCAATTGAAATCTCATTAAATAAAGATAAGTAGCAAGAAAAATTTTGCATTTTCTGGTTGAAAATCCTGGTTAATCAAACAAAATAATTTCTAAAAAGTTACAGATTGCTTTTAAAACAGTATAGAGTGTGGTGAAATGATTTACCAACAAATTATCTTCTGAACTATCAAAAGTTTGTAATTTCAAATCTCAAAAAAACTGAAGCATATGATATTAACGTTAATATAGTTTTGAATGCCCAAAAGATATCATTTTAAAAAGTTTATAGAGCATCTATCCACTAGTTTTTCCGGAACAACAAAAAATTGCTAAAGGTACCCCAATTTTAAAAAAATTTTTAAAAATACGAGAACGTATTATGTACGATCGATCTTTATTTTAATAATTTTTTATACAACTATCACTATAGTTACAAAGTAAACCATGGCCTACTTAAATTAGTAATTTAAGTAGGCCATGAGTAAACATGCAAAAAGATATCCATTTGACTTTAAAAGAAATAATTCCACAGAACATGCAATCATCCGATTTGTACTTGAAATCTATAATACGTTTAAAAAGTCTAAATATACACTAGGTGTTTTCATCGACCTTTCAAAAGCATTCGATACTGTCGATGATGAAATTTTACTACACAAGCTAAAATACTATAGAATAAGTTGCAAAGTTATAAAAAGGTTCAAAAGTTATAAATCCAACCGTAAACATTTTTTTTTTTTTTTAATGAAAACATCACATGGAAAACATATACCAACTATATTGGCATAAAAATTTCTAAAAATATTGGAATTTTAAATAAAGCTAAAACATATCTGTGTAAAAAAACTCAACTTTATGAATAATTTATTCATAGTTATTTGAATTATGCTAATATTACAAACGGATTACATGTTTCTGACGGCCTTTATCGCCGTCAGAAACATGTGATCCGTTTAACAAATTTTACAAATCGATACACTCATTCTAAACTATTTTTTATTGAAAAGAAAGTTCTCAATATTGAACACTTTCAATACAATAATGAGCTTAATGTTTTTAATGTTTTATGCTTAAGGAATAGTGGAAAATGACATATATTTATCCATTTTCAAAGATCTCTTTTGAAAAAAAATCTATTCTTAGAAATGATAATTTTATATATGAACCCTTTTTTCGACCAAGTTTAATAAGTTTTGTATTACATATCGCGCACCCTATCTTTGGAATAAAATTGTTTTGTCCAACTTCGATATGTCTTTTACTTTTTCCATTTTTAAATATAAACTGAAAAATTTAATCATCTTAATGAATGATGTAGTCAGGTATTTTTATTTGTAACTATATGTTTGTTTAGAATTTTTTATTGTAAATCAAGTTTTATTTTGTTGATTATTGATGAGTACGATCTTTCTTCAGAAACCTTGTGTTTGTGAAAGTAACTTATTTAATTAAAAAATAATTTATTTATAAAAAATTTAAGGACACTGGTACAGTCAAAAGTAAATCAGGAAGAGTAAAAAAGTAAATCAGTGGAAGAAAAAAAGTTTTTATTTGACGAGATCTTGTTAATAAAGTGAAGTATACCTTAGACAGAAATCCGGAGATTTCTGTTTGAACTTTAGCGAACAAAGTTAAGATAATTGATTCCAATTTACTATGTTAAGATAATTGATTCCACTTGGCTATTGCTAATACAATTTTTATATTTATTTTTTTAAATATTCTTTATTCTTGCAGATTTTTTCTGGTACATGTCTTATACACACTCACACACGCTAGGGTTAAGCTTTTACCATATTTTTACCATTTTAACTGTAAATTTTTTTTACCAATTTACCGGTAAATTTTGACGGTAAAAAATAAAAGTTAAGAAAAAAGTGTTTTAAGCTTTTTCTGCCATTTTAATTAAATATTCATATCAAAACTAGAGATGTGCCGGAACCAGTTAATGCCGAGTCTCCGATTCCGGGTACCCGTCTGAAAAAACCTGGTCCGAGTCCGAGTACTCGGCACCGAGTCCGTTTTTAAAAAGTTGGAATAAAAACTTGTGAAATCTCAAGCGCTGAACTATTCACACAAAATACGCTTTTTACGCTAACTAACCAAAAGTTATGTGGCGGAAGTACTATTTAGCAAAACCCCGCAATGCAGGGTAAGGGGCCTGAGTTGTAGAGCCTAACTTTTTTCAAAAGTCGTGCAACAGTTTTTAAATAACTATATTTAGTTTAAAGTTATTTTTTTTACCTAGTGGAGCGGGCCTAAATAATATTTTATTATAATTATTATCGAAATTAAAATATGAAAAATGTGTATAATATTTACCTAATATCTCTACTTTTAAGATTTTTGCTTGATGCGAATGAAATGTGGTATCAGCGTTCGAAAGCATTATAAGCGTTTTATTCAAAACTTAATTGCTAAAAATTATCTTGTGTTCTAACAGAATAAAAAGAAGCTATTCTAAAACTTTTTTTCTCATTATTTTTATTCGTAGTCTCGAATTATTTCATTTAGCGTTTCAGTTTTTGTATCCGTATAAATTTTTTTGCAAAAATGTATTAAAAATTATTTTAAGTGAGATTGTTTTAAGTTAATAGAACTTTGTGGTTATCGACTACATAACATTCTTAGATTTATATCAAGAAGTTTAATGGTTAAAGTTTAAATTTAGAGAAAAATCAATTTGAAGATACCCGGTGCCGGGTACTGCAACAAAATCGCCGATACCAGGTACCCGGTAAAACAGCCGAATTGCCGGGTCCCCGGGTCCGAACCGGGTACCCGGCACATCACTAATCAAAACAAACAAATTTTGAACTTTTTAATTAATTTTTCCATTACAAATGGCGTCTGATGCCACTTGATGCATCTTATGATTTAAAAGAAAGTGTTAGTGTTTATTGACTGAGGCACTTGCCTCAGAAACGTAAGATCCGTGGTTCAAATCCACCTCTGGGCAAGTATTGCGACATCGGTTGGGAAAGAAGCGTGAACTTCCCACTAAATGCTCTTCCGCGGTGCTCTGTGATAAGACCGTAAAGACTTCTTGGGGCACCTTAATCAACTTAAAAAAAAAAAAAAAAAAAAAAAAAAAAATATTTTTATTCATTTTTTATTCAACTTTATTCAATCATTTTTAATCAATATTATTATTTATTTAGTCAAGTAGTACTATAGTCAGTCGACTGACACGCATAAATTAATTACAGTTTTCATAAAAAAATGTCTGGAGTCTGGAAACATTATGAAAAAGATCGTTCTGAAAGTGTTTGCAAGATATGTGGGAACAAAACTCAGTTCACAGGATCTACAACAGGAATGTGGTACCATCTTGGTCAAAAACATGGGATAAAATAGCCCCAGCACAAGAAAGAAACAAGAAAACCTGCAGCCAAAACAGCCCCCAAAATTTCAACATTTTTTCAGAAAGAGTCAATTGGTGAAGTCTTTCAAAACTGGCAGCCTTGGATGGATTTAGTTTTAATTCTTTAACCAAAAGCACATTCATTCGGTTGTCTATGACAGAAAAAGGTTACGATCTCCCAAAAAACCACAAACAAGTCATTCATCTGGTGAAAAACTATTCTGCTAGTGTTAAAACTGAGTTGAAAAATCAACTAAACTCATTGTTGTTGACCGGAGAACGTTTTTCCATCACTCTGTATGAATACACATCCCTGAAAAACCGAAGATTTCTCAACATCAACATTCACCAGAAGATTAAACACTGGAACCTTGGACTCACACGTGTTTCCGGATCTTTCCTTGCAGAAAAAGCAGCAGAAGTTGTCTCAGAGAGAGTAGAGGAATTTGGACTGAACATTGTTTGTTCTGTTACTTCAATAAAGGTCAAGTTTGGGAAAATTGTTCCTACCGAACATCAAACTTGCTACACTCACGGGATTAATCTGGCCGTTTTGTACGAAAAAAATCAGAGCAACAATTTGAACGAGGAGAAAGTGGAGAGCGACAATGGCGCGGAGGAAGATTCAGATTCGGACAACGAAGAAAATTCCAGATTCATTGATGATAAAATCAATGAAAGCATTTCTCTCCCAAAGGTCAAAGTTCATTTCCAGTCTGTCATCATAAAAGTTAGGAAGATTGCCAAGTTGTTCAGGAAGGCTCCAGTCAAAAATGATGTGCTCCAAGAAGAAATTTAAAAACACCACGGCCGAGAAGTTGCTCTCATTTTGGACTGTCGAGTAAGATGGAACAGCTTCTTGGCAATGGTTCAACAGTTTCTTAAAATCAATGAACAAATCGGAGTTGTTCTTGCAGACATTTCTCCAAGTCTCATTTACACAGAGCAAGAGCTGGACATCTTGACCAACATTGTTGATGCCTATGAACCAGTGAAATTGGCAGCTAAAGCTCTTTGCAGGAAAAATGCCACCCTGTTAACAGCAGAGGGAATCTTCAAGTTTCTGATCAATAAATTGAATCGGAAAAAATCCAGTCTTTGCATCAGAATGAAAGATGCTGTCTTTAAGCGATTTACAGAGAGGAGACAAAGCAACTTGGTCAGTCTGTACAAATATTTGTCCAACCCAGACTGCCTTCACGAAATTGAAGAGCATGAAATTTTCAACATGCCTTCTTAGACTGTTCTTCAGAGAACTGCAAAGTCATTGCTTTCAAGGCTTTTTACCCACAAAAGACATTGAAATCCTGGATCAAGTAGAGAGAGGCAAAGGACGAAAAGAAGCTGAAGAAAAACATTCTCTCCAGGAAGAGTTGAATGAGGCCACTGAACATTCAACCAAAAAGCAGAGGCATAACTCAAATGATGAATTTAAGGCCATTTTAAAAGAAATGATGGTCTTTGAAGCCACCAGCAAAGGAACTGCAAATCTTAAGCTGTTATTCCATGCTCTGAAAACTATCCCTTCTACAAGTGTTGAATCGGAGAGAGTATTTCTGCTGCTGGACTATTTGTCACAAAAATTCAATCCAGAAAGAGTGATGACCTACTTGACACTTTGTGCTTCTTTAAAGCACATTTTTTGTTAAAAAATAAATCCTAAAAATTGCAGTTTTTGTGTTTTATTCATAACTATGTCTTAATTATGTTAAGGAGTCAAAAAAGCATGTTATTTCATAAGAATTTCAATTTTTTAAATTTATCATTTTTTACCATTTATCGGTAAATTCCTTTATTTTTACCAATTTACCAATAAATTTAAAACCTGGTAAAAGCTCAACCCTATTTATATATATATATATATATATATATATATATATATATATATATATATATATATATATCCTCAAAAGAATAAAATTACATCATCAAATTCCGCTAGTACTGCAATAATTAAAAAGCGATTAGTGCTGTTACTTTGGTGAACCAATTGAACCTAAATAAAATTAAAGGAATGTTTACAAAAATTATTTAAGGTTTTACTAATACCAGTATGAACTAGTTTTTAAAAAAGAAGATTTTTTATACAATATATAAATAATAGTAATAATAAAAAGATGACAGAAGAAACTTTTGTTGTGATAGATTTCTAAAGTTTTCTAGGTTTCTAAGGTTTTTAAGATACTTGCATAGTTTTATCTCAAGATATGAATTTCTAAGAAAAGAATAATGAATTTTTAAGATAAAATATTTCAAAAGCAATCCTTGAACATATAATAGAGCCTTTTTTTAAAACAATTTTAAATTAAATAATGCAAAAAAAAATAAATAAAAAAAAATAATAAATCTAATGGACTTTGAATTAAAGTATAAATAATGATTTAGGAACAGTAAGGAGAAGCCAACTCTAACTTAAAACACCCCTGCCTTAAAACTTTTGGTTGAGTTAAGGAAAAGAATTAAGGGGTAAACAGATTCTATCTGTTGACCGGCCTCGCACCCCTTTTTTATTTATTGTGCTGGCGCAGATGTATTTAAAATACATTGTTTCCAGTTTAGGATGTTGAATGCTGGATCTTCTTGACTCAATGCATGGGTTTTGCTTGTGTCTCTTTTTTAAGATTAAGCAACTCATTATGTTATCTCTTAATGAGGGTACAACTCTAAAACTTAGTTTTATGATTCTAAGGCCAGCTGGAAGTCAGGTTTCCCGAACTCTGTGGTAGCTCTCAGAGAGGCTGATTCCATCAACAGCTGAAAAATATTAAAATAATAACAGTGCCATGTTGCGCATGGGTGGTAGCCCTGTTCGTACTTTTGATGTGCATTGCCAAAACCAATTTTGAAGCCCTTTGTTACGGCTTAGGGTTTATTAATAGTAATAAGGCAACTACTTGGGCTATTTAATAGTGTACTAATTAATAGTGTACTTTTGATGTGCATTGCCAAAACCAATTTTGAAGCCCTTTGTTACGGCTTAGGGTTTATTAATAGTAATAAGGCAACTACTTGGGCTATTTAATAGTGTACTAAGTACTATCTATACCTTAAGTTAAGTTCTTTAACAAATTTAAAAATGACTAAAGCACATAAAAATATAAAACACAAAAAACCATCGTCATCGCCAAGTACTCTGAACCTATCATTCACGAATATTCTTGGCCTTTAAAATTAAATTTTCTTCTGTTGAGTCTTATCTCTTACAAAGTTCACTAGACCTACTTGCTCTTTGTGAAACTAATTTGAGATCGGATGTCTCATCTTGTGGTCTTAGTGTTGATGATTTTCTTCCTTTAATTCCTAAAGACTCTAACAGTCACATGCTTGGCCTGGGCATCTACATTCATAAGAATTCACCAATTTGTTGGGAAACTATATTTGAATCCACAAACTATTCATTTATGTGCTTTTGCCTTAATGTTTAAAATTAAAATTGTCTTTCCTTTGTTCTATATTGCTCGCTTTCATCTCAAGGCTGAACTCTTTTTGATGTTATTTCTGATCAAATTGACAAAGCCCTTTCTCATTATCCTTCAGCCAATATTGTTATTGTTGGTGACTTTAATGATCATCACACTGAATGACTTGGCTGTAGTTTCAGTGACTCTGCCGTCGTTAAGGCCCACAACATTTGTCTTTCTCAGTCTCTAAATCAAATAGTCAACTTTCTAACTCTTTTTCCAGACAACCCGAATCATTTACCTTCTCTATTTAACTTATGTCTTGTTTGTAATCCTAGTCAGTGCTCAGTTTCTCCGCATTCACCCTTAGGTGCTTCTGATCATGGTTTGAACTCTCTAAAACTACTATCTCATTCTTTTTCATCATCAAAAACTCCCTATTATCGTACCTCTTACAACTACCTTAAAGCTGACTGGGACTCTTTCCCTGATTTTCTTTTTGATGGCCCTTGGGCAGAAATCTTTCGTTTTCCTGCAGACAAATGTGCTTCTTACATAAATTCTTGGATCTGGCTGGCATGGAATCTTTTATTTTCTCTTGACGATTCCAAGTTAAGCCTCAATCTTCTTCATGGTTTTCCTCACATTGTGTTTTTGAAATTTCTAATCGAAACCATTACAAAACAGACGTCTGTTTACTATTGGTAGAAACCATTGTAAAAAGGTTTTGTCTAACGCAAAAGCCCGCTATTCTCAGGTCATGAAATCTTTTATCTCAAAAATTATACTCTCGTGACTTCTAGAGAATCTTTAACAGTATCAACAATAAAAGCAAATCTGTTATTTCACCTTTCTTGTATGGTTCAGATTTTGTCACCTCACCTAAAGACAAAGCTGAACTGTATAATAATATAATATCTTATCTTAATTCTATTAGTTTTGTTCTGCCTGATATAGCCAACAACCTGGTTTATCCATTGCTTGACATTCATATCACTCCAGCTTCTGTATCTAAAGTGATTTCCTGATTAGACTTTTTTACAGCAAGTGGTCCAGACAACATACCTGTTATAGTTTTGAAGAAGTGTTCTCCTGAGCTGTTGTCTATATATTCAAAACTATTTATCAAGTGCCTATCAGTCTTGTTTTCCAGCCTGCTGGAAAGCGGCATCTGCTATCCCTATTTTCAAAAATTCTGGAGAGCGATCTGACTTGTCTAACTACCGTCCCATTAGTGTTCTTCCTATCATAAGCAAGATTTTTGAATCTTTAACTAACAATCACTTAATCTCTCATCTTGAATCTAATAACTTACATTCTAATCATCAATATGGATTTCGATCTTCTCGTTCTACAGCTGATTTGCTAACAGTCATAAGCGATAAGTTTTATCGTGCATTATATAGAGGGGGAGAGGTTAAGACTATTGCTCTTGACATTTCTAAAGCTTTTGATAAAGGTTGGCATACTAGTCTTCTCCATAAGCCTTTTTCTTACGGTGTATCAGGTAACACTTTTTAGATTATCAGGTGTAGTAATTAAAAACCGGGTTTTGCACATAGATGGCGTTTTTTGAAAAGTTCTCAATATAAATAGTTTTTTTTTTTACAGCTGTAACATTCCTCTACAAAAATTAGTTGTCAATTGAACGCGTATCATACCACACCATTGTTTTTTATTACGTTAAAAATGTCGAATTTTGTACCGGAAAAGCATCATTTGCGAGAGGTTTTACATTTTTGTTTCCATTTAAAGAAAACTGCTGCTGATGCTCGTCGAATGCTTGAGGAAGCTTATGGTAAACATATTTCATCGAAAACAACTTGTGAAAACTGGTTTAAACGATTTAAAAGTGGTGATTTTGATGTGAAAGACAAATAAGATCCAGGTCAAGAAAAAAAGTTTCATTCTGAACGCATCATCAACTTGACCATTCATTGATTGAAAATCAACCGGAATGGAAGAATAAGCATGAAAAAGTGATTTTGCAACATGAAAATGCTCAACCACGCAGATCAAAAGGTGTAAAAAATACGTTAAATGCACATGAATGGGAAGAATTACTACAGCCGCCATATTCACCAGACTTGGCTCCATCCGCTTATCATTTGTTTTCATCAATGTCATTGCAGACCAGCACTTCAATGAAGTTGAAGAAGTCAAAAAATAGGTTGATGATTTCGCTTCAAAAAACTAACAATTTTATCGAGATGGAATTCGTAAGTTGCCTGAAAGATGGGAAAAATGTGTAGCTAACGATGGAAAATCCTTTGAATAAACTATCTATAACCTTTCACTAAAAAAAAAAGTGTTTTTTTTTTATAAAAAACCCGGTTTTCAATTACTACACCTGGTATTAAATCCTTTCTTTCTAATCGTAGTATAAAAGTTTTCCTCAGTGGACAGCACTCTACTTTAATCCTGTAAGTTCAGGGGTTCCTTAAGGTTCTATCCTTGGCGCTATACTCTTTTTAAATTTAAATTAACGATCTTTTAGATATTCTTACATCTAAGATGGCCTGGTTCGCTAATGATATTACCATTTATTCTTGTCATAATAAGAAGCCAACACTCTCTGATTGCTTGGAGGGGACATTTGAGTTTGAAAAAAATCTCACTTCTGCTACAGCATGGGGCTCACAGTGGCTGGTGGACTTTAATTCAGATAAAACCCAACTCTTTTCAGCCAATCGTTATCGTAATAAATTTAGATCTTGCTATATTTATAAACGGTAATGTACTCGATGAGTTATCTACACTTCATCTTTTAGGATTAACTCTTACTTCCGATCTTTCTTGGAAACCATTATCAAATTCATTGCAAAACTAGCATTTGCTAAAGTTGCATCTCTTTATCGAGCACTTTATAGAATTCAGAGTAAGCTTTCTTACTCCGAATTCTATTCTTTATATCTATAAATCTCAAATCCGGCCTTGTATGGAATACTGTTACCATATCTGGGGCGGATCTTCTAATGATGCCCTTTCTCTTTTAGAAAAGGTGCAAAAACGCATTAAAAAAATAGTCGGACCTGCTCGTGGAGCCAGTCAACCATTATCGCATTGTTGTAATGTTGCTTCTCTTTCTCTTTTCTACAAGCACTATAATGGGCACTGCTCTAAAGAGCTAGCGTCTCTTGTGCCATCTACTGAAGTTCATTTTAGTGTTACTAGCCATTCAATTAAGTCTCATCATTTTTATTTGAATGTTCCTAAAAATTCTTAACTGTTCTCTAAAAAGTGCTCCAAAAACTCTTATTTGTCTAGTTTTTTTCCTCCAAACATTAGTTCTTTGGAATTCGCTTATTTTTTCTTGCTTTCCTGAATCATATAATTTTCAATTTTTTAAGTCGTCTGTCAATCTTTATCTTGCTCTATAAACTTTATCTTTTCTCTTCTTGAATGTTCAACTCTAATAGTGGTTGATTGCAGCCTTGTTGGAAGCGAAGACGTTGAAAAAAATAAAATAAAAGAGTTTGAGGAGAAATCTTTATCAGCCTATCTATGATGTTAGATATAAACGTAAGAAAGTCAAAGAGAAAAAAGTTAAAAGATCTTTAAATAAGAATTGTGAGTAAAATATTTGAAAATATTAAGATATTATACTATTATGCAACTCATTTCCTAAAAAACCTTCTTTTTTGCAAAGCAAAAAATGTTGTCATCAGTGAAAGAATTTTAACAATCAGTTACATATTATTAGGAAATAATTTTTACCAAAATCAAAATCAAAGTTATTTCGATTTTTTTCATTCACTTCATGCATTAAAAACATATTACAATTTAAATTTAAAACTTAAAAACTTAAAAGTAAATTAGATTGCTATTATTAATAAATTAATTATAGAAATGTTTTAAAACATTTTAAACGTAAAAGATACTGAAATATTAAAACAAACCTCAGCTTGGAAAAATTTTTTGTCAATAGAATGCTCAGAACCATTGTTTTTAAAAGATCCAAAATGAAAAAGTGCTTTAACAGGAATAAACCACTGATTGCCTTTTAATAAACGATATAAATGATCACCAGGAAAATTAATTACTAAAGCTTTTCCATTATTTGAAAAAGAATACTCTTGGTGTAGTTTCGGGTAATTCCAGTAATTGTGACTAATTTTATTCACAACGTCTGCACGTAAAGCTTTGAAAAGCTTTATATCAATTGGAGATTGATTTTTTCCATTACATGTAGGATAAATTGTTCCCCATAAAGATGGAGGCACAGCATGAACTTTATTTAAAATAAAGAAAAAAAAATAAAATAAAATGTTTTTGTAGCATAAATGTGTGAAGGCTATCAAAATATAAACCAATCTTTTCAATTTAATTTTTTTTTATTCATCATTTTTTGACAGCATATAGCCATTCTAGGTAAAAAATTTAAAAATATCTTTAAAAAAACGTTTTAATATATCGCATAAAATAGTGAAAATAGAGTAAATTAAAAGAAAATTAAATACAAATTTTTTTGCACAACTATTATTATTTTTTTTAATGTTAATAAGTTTTTTCAAAAAGATTGTTAGGTCTTCTTAACTTAATTACTCAAAAAAAAAAAACACTGTGGAGGAGTAATTTACCTGGAGGTAAATTACTTCTTTACCAATGTCGCTTCTTTACGAATGTTGCTAGAGTCGGCGTTGTATCTCAAACCTCTTAGTTCTGAGACACAACTCTATTCACAATGACACGGATAGTTGAAATAGTTTAAGAGTTTTTCAACAAATACCCAAAAATAATAAAAGGACCTGTAAAATGTTTCATGAAAGGTAGTTTTAACATAGCTAACTTGTTTATTTGGCTTTGTCCCACCTTATTATGCATAGTATTTTAAACATTTAATTTTAATTTATATTGGGTTTATCCCACCTTATAATCAACTTGAACAAGTAAGTCTAGTCACAAGTGGAACACATTTAACCGTAAACGCTTGAGAGTAAAGAAGTGGTTGATTGAAAAAACTGTTAGTGTACTAGTTATACTATTTTGAACAGATGTTCAGATAGCAGATAATTAAGAATAGAAAATGAGAACAGCATATCCATCTTACTAAATATAGTTATATTTTATATTTATTTTATTTTAAAACCCAGTTAAAATCGTGACAAAATTGCATATATTTTGTGATTATTGAAATTCGTAGCCGGAGCGAAAATCAAGGCAATATGATGCGATTTCTTGTTTCATATTTAGTTTACAAAGTTTTATGGAGTTGTTCGTTTTATGATTAGCTTACATTTAGTTTATATGGTTTACTGCTATATATAAAGATCAAGAGGTCAAAAATATTCGTTTTATACTAAGTTTACATTTAATCGCAATTTATTCCGTGAGATTATTCCGTGTTTTTTTTATATTTTAAATTATATAATTATATTTATTAAACTATATTTTAAATTATATAATTAAACTATTAAATTATATTTTAAATTATATAATTTGTTAATATTTTAAATTATATTTAATCACAATTTATTCCGTAAGATTATTTGTTTATATCTAGTTCACATATTTCACATAGTTCATATTTCACATAGTTCACATAAACTTTATACCGTTTTAAACCTAGTTTATCTACAGTTTACTTTATTCTTTTTTCGTGGAGTTATACGCAATATACTTTGTTAGCATAAAATTATTATTTAAACCGTTTTAGTGGAGTTAATCTTTTTAAAATTGTATACCCTATTTGTGGAGTTAATCGTTTTAAAATTGTATACCCTATTTGTGACGTTAATCGTTTTAGAATTGTATACCCTATTTGTAGAGTTAATCGTTTTAAAATTGTATACCCTATTTGTGAAGTTAATCGTTTTAAAATTGTATACCCTATTTGTGGAGTTAATCGTTTTAAAATTGTATACCCTATTTGTAGAGTTAATCGTTTTAAAATTGTATACTCTATTTGTGAAGTTAATCGTTTTAAAATTGTATACTCTATTTGTGAAGTTAATCGTTTTAAAATTGTATACCCTATTTGTGGAATTATTTGTATACTTAGTTAATATTTAGTTATAAATTATACCGTTTCGTGGACCTATTCGTATGCTTAATTTATACTTAGTTTATATAAAATTGTGATTTATACCGTTTTAGTGGAGTAATTCGTTTTAAAAATGTATACCATTTTAGTGAAGTTATTTTTATTATACTTAGTTTATATTTAATTTTAATTAATACCCTATTGTTTGATATTTATTTTATGCTTAGTCCTTATATGCTTAGAATTTTTAAAGAGTAAAGACAGAGTCCAAAGTTAAAAAAAATCATTAAAATTAATGAAGCAACTTTCTTTGAGTGAAAATTAATTTTTTATCCCTCTAGTAGTGTTCAACTATTTGTATTTTAAGTAGTTTACTACTAACATTTAAAGACGTCACAAATGTTGTTTAGTTTAATACTAACATTTAAAGACGTCACAATTGTTGTTTAGTTTACTACTAACATTTAAAGACGTCACAAATGTTTTATATTGTTCATTAACAGATAGTTTTTAATGAAATATTAACTGAGAATATCTTTATCAAGGCCTGTCGACTCTTTCGTTTTTACATACTTAAGAGTGTTATCGTATGCGCAAAGCATTCTGGGATGTCCTGGTAGTATAGAAATAAGTTCACAACAACAAACTTAGCTGAAACTCTGCAAAGTTTTTTGTTTTATATTGCGTTATTCTTTAATAAATAATACTCTTCGTTGTTCAGAAATGCCTTCATACTGTGCTGCAACCAACTGCGCAAATACAAGTGGAATTGCTAACGAAAATTATCAAGTTATTTCAATGATTAACTCACTACTCAAATATAAAAGTTGTATTTTGTTCTTATTTCTACTGGTGCAAGATGAGATCTTGATGGAAAACTTATTGAAATTCTAAATAATGATTATTGTTTCTGCATCAATCATTTTGAAAGTTCAATTTTTATTTAACAAACACTGAGGGAAAATATCTTCTCCATAATGCTATTTCTACAGTATTTATGTTCTAAATATAGTCTCATGGCATCACATTCTGACGTTGTATAAAATAGACGAAGACGTAAATGCATTTCTATCCATCATGCACCAAAATTTTTGGAGCATTTTTTGTATTAATTATTACTGTCAACTGTTATACTGACTTCTTATTGACCAACTAATTTATTGATAAAAATAATACTCTTTTTAATCTAATTAATTCAAAGAAATTTCATGCTGATAAACCTGCTCGATTTGATGTAACAACAAAGGAAAATAACATGTTACGGTTTGGGGTATCTCAACTTCGGATTAAGAAATGAATGTTTTGTGTTTCTGGCTCTGCATCATAAGACTCTGCATCATAAGACTCTGCATCATAAGAGAATAAATGTTACAATAACTAGCATACTGAAATTATGTAAGGAGCTTCGAAAAAAAGTTTAGTTTTTAACTCGAAAAAAAGTTTAGCTGTATATTCTCATCTCACTTCAAGCAAAATTATTTAGAAAGTTTGATCAAAACTATTCAGAGCAAAGAAGGTTGAAATGATAGACATTCGAACAATTTGGATAAGCTTAACTGAATGTTTAGTTGTTGTTGTCATTAGAAACTAGCAGTTTTAAAAACGATTGTCTTAAAGAAATAGATTTTAGCGTTGTACTGCATATAAATGCTTTATTTAAATATTTACTCTAAAAAAACTAAATAAACAAAATTTTCTATTTTTTGCTGACAAAATATCAATTCAACAGGTTTACTGTTCAATTCTTGGAAAGAAAACTATTGTACAATGCATGCAGATTTTTCTAGCTTGTTAAAAAAGGTGTCTGACTGTGTCAACAGTGTGTGGTAATACTTTGTGGTGAAACGATGGATTTAGGCATGGATTAGGCATGGTTTATAGACCAATACAAACTGAGACAAACCGCCAAAATTATTTACCAAAATCTTTATTTATATCATTGATTTGTTATATTCTATTTAACATTATTCATGGAATTTATTGAAAAGTGACTTCATACTAAAAACCTAGCTTTTTTATGTTATTTAAGATCATGGAATTCTGTACTTTTGACATTTTATTTAAAGATTTTTTTAACATGCTTTTTTACTTACAATAAAAAAAATTTGCATATTTGTCAGAACAAGAATTTTTTGCTTTTATTTGTTAATTATTTAAAAATTTTTTAAATAATTAAAAAATTTTAATATTGATAATTATTAAATAATGCCTTTATGTTTTTCTTTTAACAATCAGTTTTGGTTTTATGAGTTAATCTGTGTGTATATACATACATACATACATACATACATACATACATACATACATACATACATACATACATACATACATACATACATACATACACGGCTAGGTGTACATACTGATTCAAATTCGCATATGTATGTATTTATGTATACATACATACATGCATACATACATTATGTATGATTGTATGTATGTATGTATAAATGTATGTAAATACATACATACATTTATACATATATACATGTGTGTGTGTTTAAACTTGAATTGATAATGATAATTTGCTGTGTAATTATTGCATAGTAAATTATTTTATCAAGTTTCATTTGAAGATTTTCAAATTGACTTATTATTATAACCCGATAAGTTTTATTAAGACATGATATACTTAATATTACACTGTATTATTGCTGCTTTTTTGAAAAATGTTTTATGAGAAACCTATTATTCTAATCAGAAATTTTTTAGAATTATGTCAAATTAGTATAAAAAAAAAAGATTAATTCTATGAATAGTTTTTTAAATAAATTAAGAGTAATCAATTACTGACAGCATTTGGGTATTGAAAACAACGTATTTATTTGTTTTTTAATGTTATACTACCAGGGCATCCCACAATCCTCTGTAAACAAATTACATGTTTTTACGCGAGTCGACAGCGCTTGATCTTTATGCAGTCAAGTATTGTTTATATTGTTCCTTAATAAATAGTTTTTAGGGATGGATGCAGCATTTTTTAATTTTGGAGCTCTTTCTTCCAAACATGGAACACCAAATATTTATATGTTTAAACTTATGTCAAATAAAGATCCTTTGTTAAAACTTGGGGTGATTGGGGCCTGAGAACAAAAGGGTCAAAAAATTTTGCGATACCTGCCCCAAATGTTAGAGCAACAAATTAATAAAATATATATTTTTTCATTCTCAACAAAATTTATATTTATCGACAAATTTTAAATTTCATAAAAAAATCTCTTAGCGTTCAAAAATTATACCTTTAGAAAATTTGAGACCGTCTCAAATTCATGGGGGGTCAAACTTTTTATGCTCATAGTTTTTGTACGCTAAGAGATAACTTGAGAATAGTAAAAAAATATTTTATCAACAAGTTGCTCTCACGATTGGGGCAGATGACGCAAAAATGTTAAGGCTATTTTGTTTCCACGCTCCAATCATCGCAATTTTTTGCAAAGCATTCTTATTTGACATAAGTATAAACATAAATTTTTCTAAACATCAAAAAATGCTGTATGCATATTTGACAAAAGTATACATATAAACCTCAAACATTAAAAGTTGTTGCTTCCACCACTGGTTTTTACCACAATTTTAACTCAGAGTGTCTTTATGCAGTCAAAACACATCTTAATAGTATAAACTGATTTTAAAGATTTGAAGTTGAATTTAATTTGAAGTTGATTTTAAAGAATTGAATTTAGTTTGAAGTTGATTTTAAAGAATTGAAGTTTGAAGTAAACCTATCCCAAAAATCAAAATAGCCGTTACGCTAAGTTAAAGACAGTCAACTCGATATTATTATTGTTTATGAACATAACTTATTTCGAAACTAGGCTCTAATTGTAGCTCCTAAAATTATAAACTAAAAATTTTAATACTTTTCAAATACAAATAATAAAGCTGCCAAAATCCAAAATAGCGGCCATCCCTAATCATCGGCCATCCCTTATTAAAATGTCATTAAATTTGATGCTTGATCATATTAAAGATATGAAATGTCATATTAAAGATGGTATCGAATTTTTGTATATTCTACCCGGTGGGAAAAAGATAGCCAGATGACACAAGAAGTGTTTAAAACTTCTAAAATACGTATTATTAAAACATACTTTATACGTCTTATGCGCGTCTTTTACCCAAAGGTAGCGACTAGCTAGCTAGTCGCTAGCTCATTCCCACCGGGTATGTACAAATCTAGGTCATACTTTATAAACCTAGACCAATATAAGTAAAAAATTAATTTTAGGCTTTTTTCAAGTTTTTCAAAGTCAATGCTTTCATTCAGTGCCATATAAAAAAATATTTTAGCCTCTAGTATTAGTTACAATGATATGCAGACAAAAGCCTAAAATTAGGACAATGACAATGTGTCCGGTATTTATATGTATACAATACTGATACAGTGCTACATATAAAAATGATATGAAATATTATATGCTGTCAAAAAACAAAATAAAGGTATCAGGTATAGCATAAAATTTAATCAAAGGTACTTGAGAAAAATCAGAACCACTACAAATGAATTAGAAGTGACTTACTGATCATTCAGACATATTATAACAAGTAGGTATTCGTAAAAATGTAAGAGTTTCAATTAGGCCAATGAAACTATGTGCATTGGTATTGATAAAGTTTTAACGCAAAATTTGCATGAGAATAAAACCAAAATCAAAAGAAGTAAAACCAATGCTTAAGCTTAATAAAAAGAGTGATGAAAATTAGAGAACAATAAAGCCGTTGAGATGGTTACTTCTAAAAAAGATGTTATGAAACCCGTGTCACTTATGTTATGTCATAACTTGACATAACATAACATAATACAATGATATTTATAAATTTCCAAAGGTATAAATATACAGGTTCAAATTTACAACCAATAAACGGTGACACATTGCAAGCAATATCTACTTGATCAGTTTAATTTGATGGAAATTGTCAGCATTGACACAGGGGTGTCACAGACACGCTTTATCTGAAAGAGCCGTAGTCGCAGTTCATCTGCTGTTTTGAAAAATATTGGAATTGCAACAGAAACAAATATAGCAAGTGATAGAATATATTGAGTGACAAAAATTTGTTTTCTGTGTCGTTCTTGTCGAACGGTACAGAAAACGAACAGAATTGAAAGCTGTCAATTGTCACATATATTGGCAATACATCACAGGAAGAAAAGAAAAAACGGTAATAATTCAAAAAGAACTCAATTCTATTGTAGATCTGTGATTGAGAAATATTTGTCATTTGTTTCTGAACCAGGTTCCTCGTTCCTTGATCATGCAACGTCAATTGGTGGCTCTCCCAAATGTATTTCCGCAAGCATAGCTGATTATTTGTCTCAACAAAATATAAAAATAGACATTTTAGCTGCATTTAGATGTGATAGTGCCAGTGTTATAACGGTTCAAATAGGGAAAATTAATAAACTACATGATCAAAAACATTTACAAAGCTGGTTTGCTTGCTTCATGATAATGAACTCCCACTACGTCATTTACTACACAGTCTAGACGGAGCTACATTCAATCCACGTGTATTATTGAAACTAATATGGAATGGTTTTGTAATATGTAAACATTTAGCGGTTGTGGATTACTCAAAAGTTCAATATTCTGATTTACCAATTACAGATTAGAAATATTTATGGAATATAACCAAGGTGGTCTTAAGTGGTAATTGCATTGAATATTTAGAAACAACTAATGTAAAAATTTAAATCATTCAAGATTGATAACCACAACGAATGGCTTATTGCTTTCGAATAAAACAAAAACAGAACTTTAGATAGATTGCAAATCTTTGAAACATACATCGTAAATGTTATGCACTAATGTTGTTCACATTCTTCATGTTTATATTTTTACTTTTTATATTTCTCTTCCTGAAAACTTGCTTGTATCCCTCGTTACAGACGAGCTTCAACACATTCGTCACATTCTTGTAATTCGTCGAATTTCGAAGGCAAGAAAAACTCCAAAGTTATCTATTTGACCAATTCAAGTGCTAAAACTAGATTTTGAAGGACATGATGTGTAAGAGTTAATTTATTGGCAAACAATAAGCATCACGGAACCGCTACTGACAGCTGACGTTACGGATGAACAATTGAAATTATTTATGGCAATTCTACTCCAGCTAAATTTAAAGTTCACATGCCATACACAGTCAGTAGACACAAATGTACAAAGTGTACATACATTGACATTCACTAATTGACTAACATTAGTGAATTAGTTCTTGGTGAATTATTATTTGTTTTAAGTCAATATATTTAAGCTTTATAACTATTATATACTTTTAACTAATGTGTAGCCATTTTAAATTTTGGCAAATGCCAGAGCTGCTAAGAATTTCAAATTGCTTTCAAAAAAAAATTTTAATGATAATGAATGTTAGTTTTAAAATTCTAATATGTTAACATATAACTGTTAAAGTAAAACAAAAACTTGAGACTTTTATATGCGACAACATTTTTTTTTGTGTGCAACAACATTTTCCTGCAAAAATTTATAATTTCGACCATTTTGGTTTTTGGTACACATAGCAATCTAAATGTATTTAAATTAACTTTTCATACAATCATTGTATCCCCAATCTTCTGAACACACCATTGGATTTCGTTTTAATCTTCCTAGAATTTGAAAAACGAAAATACTCAAAAAATTAAATTATTAAAAATTTGATTAAAAAAATTAATCAATAAAATATTAAAACTAGCAAGCTGTATAAAAAACTATATATATATATATATATATATATATATATATATATATATATATATATATATATATATATATATATATATATATATATATATATATATATATATATATATATATATATATATATATAAATTCTGATAAATAATTGCTGCCTTTCCTAGCTTAACAATTGCCAAAAGAACCAAAATTAAGACTAGGTTGGCAATACTACACACTCAAGCAGTGCGTATTAACTCGTTGAAATATTGTTCTCTGCATGCTAAAATCAGTTTGATAAAATTTTACACAACTACGTAATGTATGCAATGAGCCTGGCTTCAACAAAAAATTATTGTTGTTACTGGCTGATTTAAACAAAAATACCTTAGACAATGTTCTCGAAGTGTTGAAACCTATGAAAATGGATACACATTTTTGTAACAAAATCGTAACAAAAAGTATATTGGTGAAACAAAAATGCAAATAAAAACACGCATGCAACAACACAAAAACAGTACAATAGGAAATAAAACAGAAAGATCAGCATTAGCCACACACATGAAACATTGTGCACAACAAATTAACTGGGACAGTTGCAGAACTCTAAAAGTCAATAACAAAAAGTTTGATAGGAAAGTTCGTGAGGCGCTTGAAATACAGTACCACCAATGTGCCCCTCAACAAAGTGGTATCAATTTAGATGAGGGACAATATGTGTCAACAAAATTCTGGACACCATTTCTAATGCACTTACGTCAGAAAAACACGAAACCATTCCATTGACATATAATAAAATTGCCGTTTAAAAATAACATATAAACAAAAACAAACAAAATCTTTTAAGCTGAAGACGCTGGTCACAACAATCCAGCAAAAATTTCTTTTAAAAAATATTATAAATAAATAAAATAAATAAAAAATAAATAAAATAAAAAAATAAATTTAGTATTGAGAGAAAATCGTATTTATTGATGTTTATAAAATAATAATATGTATATATATATATATATATATATATATATATATATATATATATATATATATATATATATATATATATATATATATATATACATATATATATATATTATTATTTTTTATATATATATATATATATATATATACATATATATATATATATATATATATATATATATATATATACATATATAATATATATATATATATATATATATATATATATATATATATATATATATATATATATATTGCCAAAAATATACATATATATTTATATATATATATATATATATATATATATATTATATATATATATACTATAATATATATATATATATATATATATATATATATATATATATATAATTGTCAAAAATATACATATATATTTATATATATATATATATATATATATATATATATATATATATATATATATATATATATATATATATATATATATATATATATATATATATATATAAATATTGCCAAAAATATATATGTATATTTTTGGCAATTATTACATAAATGATACAAAATAATTGAATCGGTGAATGTTAAAAGGACGGAATTCCAACTATGAAAACTTTTGGGAAACTAAAAAAAGCTGCATTTCCTCCCGTAATAAATTTTTTTTAATGGTTTTTAAAATTAATAGGATAAAGCTGGAATTGCAATTCAACTCAAAGACAAGGTTAAAGCAAAAATTTTGGATTTGTATGATGCTTATAAAACTTTAAAAGAAGAAAGGATGTTAATCTAATAAAGCTAAAGAAAAACTAATTGTTGGTGATCTGAAAAATTATTTTTATATTGCTCACTAAGATGTTTAAAACAAAAATAGAAACTGATCGACGTGATAGTGAGCAAGAAAAAGAAGATATTAAACTTCTTATAGCAGTTAGAGATTAGAAGCGAGTTATTTTGGGATCAGAAGACCAAACACACAAAAAAAGAAAATTATACAGAAGATACATAGAGAGAGAATTGAAATGACATGAAGAATGGTTTAAGAAAAAACTAGACAAAACAACCTGATCAAAACAGATTAATTACACTGGCTCTTCCACGCAATTCATTCAAAAGTGAAAAAATTTCAGCAATGAAAGATTGCTTAAATTTATCACTTGTTAAAAGAATAACAACGATAAATTTAGAGGGTGGTGCTAATTTGCACTGTGTGACCTTATCAAAACACAAGCAGCAGAACAGCGGCTAAAAACATCGAATAAAATATGGGGAATAGATTGAAACTACATTTGTTTCCCAAAGTGACAATACATTGGGATAATGTTACATTACATTGGGTTTGAAAAATTGTTCCAGAGAATGCTTAACAGATAAGTGCTCATATAGCTGGGATTCCAAACTGTAAAGAAAGTTAATTACTTAAGGTTCCATTAATCTCTGCTGGAACTGGTGCAACTATGGCTAACACCAGCCATTCTCTTGTGGTTCGGTGGTAGAAATATCAATTGTTGGACTAGTTTTTGACAACGTCAAATTCTGGGTGGAAAAATTTTGCATGCGTACAGTTGGAATTGTTGCTAGACAAGAAGCTTTTCTGTTTTGCTTTTCAACACTATGTAATGGAAAGAATTTTATGTTCTGCCTGGCAAAAGATTTTTGGTTCGTTGACAGTGACAGCCTGCCTCGTGATGATTACAGGGGTACAAACCATCATGCCCGCTGGATGACAACTGTTATATATAGTGCTAAGATGTATGCCTTTGATGACCAGCTGAAATATGATCAAGATAAAATGGAGAAACAGTGTCAAATTTGCATAATTAATGCACTCTTCAACGTAAAGGCGTGGCTAGCCACCCCTTTTGCAGCCGATGCTCCATCAAATGATTTCCAGTTATACCATGATCTTCACATGTTAAAGAAAACTGACCCAGAGGTTGGTGAAGCAACCATTCTTGCAATGAACAAGCATCTGTAGTATCTGACCAAAGAAACTGCTACTTTTTCTCTTTTTTTTTTGATTTGGTGTCAGAATTGGAAAAGAAACAAATAGCCAGACAACTAAGAACTGCCACTGACAACAGAGAAATGCCACTGGATAAAGGTGTAACAGTTTTTACACAGTTGGCTTCACCCAAAAAATTAGTACACTTGATTGGCAAGAAATCTTTGCTCAACCTGTTCAACCTAGTCGGAATCGAAACTGCCTGGTTACACTTGCCGCTAGCACAGTGGGAAACAAGTATTGATTTTCAAGAGGCAGCTATGTTTATTCGTCCTGCAAAAGTTGTTCATGATCTTGCTGAAAGAGCCATGAAACTCATCACAGATTTTGCAAACACTTTAACTAAAGATGAAATACAGAAACAATATTTGCTTTAGATTATTAAAAAACACAGACACAAAGTACTAGATTTTAAAAAATGAACCTTGGGAAACATTTAAAAACTGTTTTTTTATTCTTAGAGACATCAGTACAAATTTAGCATATATAAAGCTTATAAAATAACCTTACTGAACTTTTTTCATTATGTTCATTGTTTAAATGAACATATCAACAGTTTTTCTAAATTTTGAAAAAAAAGTTATATATATTTTCAATGTTACAATTTTTTGGTAGTATTTTCACCAAAAAATTGTATTGGAAATCTATAAACAGACTAAAATGTATGTTTATAGATTTCCAAGAGCTGAAGAAGAGAAAAAATGTTGGATAAAGTGCATTCCTAATGCAAATTTAAAAGTGACAAGCAACACTGTGATCTGTGAACTACACTGGCCCAAAAATTTTGAAAAAGTAAAAGTAAAAAAAAGAGAAAGACAAAAAGATCCACCATCAATTTGGCCCAATGTTCCTTTAAGTCAAATACCAACATCTATACCTTCTTTAAGATCAACTAAACGTATTTTCAATGTTAAATAATATGAAAAAAAAGTTCTTTGTGGTGGCAACGCTTTCAGTTGCTTCTAAATCTTAAAGCATGATTTTTTTTGTATTTTATGATTAAAAGAATGGAAAATATCCAGGAAGCTAAAAAATTTGACTTAAAATTTTTCAGAGCACCCTATATATATATATATATATATATATATATATTATATATATATATATATATATATATATATATATATATATATATATATATATATATATATATATATATATATATATATATATATATATATGTTTTTGTTGTTTATAAGTTATTTCAAACATTTAAAAATCTTCCTACGCCACTGTATATATATATATATATATATATATATATATATATATATATATATATATATATATATATATATATATATATATATATATATATATATATATATATTGTTGTTGTTTTATTGTACCAAATTAAGATACAAAAGTCTCTTGTTCGTTTGAGAGTGATCAATATAATGTAAGTGTTTACAAAATAGATCAATAATAATAATAATAGTAATAGAGTTTGATTATTTGAAAAAATACAACTTTGTGATGGGAGTTTCATGCCCTTCGGCAACCATCAGCCATATTTTATTCTTTTAAATCAAGAAAAAACCGTTAAAAAATACAAAATACAAAAATTAACAGAAAAAACAATAACAAAGCAAAAGAATGAGTTCTGACGTCAAAACAAATTTTTAATTAGAAAATTGTTTAATCGGCCGTGTCGAAATGGGCGAGAAGAAACTTGTTTCGATGCCTGCACTTGGATATCATTTCACTTTTTTTATTAAGTAGATTTTTATTTTTGGAAAACAGAATTTGATATTTTTCATTTATACACAGTTTGCGAGACTTCGTGGTTGGGTTGTAAGCATTGCACTGCTTAATTATTTTCCATTTAATAACTGGATTTAAATTTGCATCTTTCAGTTTCCAAAATTCTTTTGATAGTTCAGAGTCATTTTTGTATTTTAGAATGTTAAATGATTTTATATGGTTGGCATATCTAATTTTGAATGGTGTTTCGCTTATACCGATGTATAGTTTGTTGACAGGAGTGGTAGTAGGATTAGTTGAACTTATTTTAGCTTGGTAAACAATGTCTTTTGTTAAGCATTGGTTTGATAGAGGGCAGGTTCGCAACCACGAAGTCTTGCAAAATCGTTTAACATTCTAAAAAGACACTGAACTATCAAAAGAATTTTGGAAACTGAAAGATGCAAATTTAAATCCAGTTATTAAATGGAAAATAATTAAGCAGTGCAATGCTTACAACCCAACCACGAAGTCTCGCAAACTGTGTATAAATGAAAAATATCAAATTCTGTTTTCCAAAAAATAAAAATCTACTTAACAAAAAAAGTGAAATGATATCCAAGTGCAGGCATCGAAACAAGTTTCTTCTCGCCCATTTCGACACGGCCGATTAAACAATTTTCTAATTAAAAATTTGTTTTGACGTCAGAACTCATTCTTTTGCTTTGTTATTGTTTTTTCTGTTAATTTTTGTATTTTGTATTTTTTAACGGTTTTTTCTTGATTTAAAAGAATAAAATATGGCTGATGGTTGCCGAAGGGCATGAAACTCCCATCACAAAGTTGTATTTTTTCAAATAATCAAACTCTATTACTATTATTATTATTATTGATCTATTTTGTAAACACTTACATTATATTGATCACTCTCAAACGAACAAGAGACTTTTGTATCTTAATTTGGTACAATAAAACAACAACAATATATATATATATATATATATATATATATATATATATATATATATATATATATATATATATATATATATATATATATATATATATATATATATATATATATATATATATATATATATATATATATATATATATATATATATATATATATATACAGTGGCGTAGGAAGATTTTTAAATGTTTGAAATAACCAACTTATAAACAACAAAAACATTCCAAATTTTTTTACGTTCATGTGTATATACGATTTTTGATAAATTCAAACGTTTGCGGTAAAGGCGTTTATATTAAAAAAAGTAGAAATTTTTCATCGTTATTTGATTAAAATTTATTAAAACTGCGAAATCACATTACTATTTTGTAGGTTTATTTTCATAAACAAGAACAGCTTCACATCTTTGAGGCAGAAAGTCAACTAAACTAATGCAAACATCAATGAGAAATAAGTGCAACATTTCTTTGTTTTTTCTAAATGAATTAGCATAATTTGTAAGCTTGATGTCTAATATTTGACGGTCAACATGTTCCTATAAAGAATCAATCACATCTAATCTCAAGTAAGCCAGTTGATTGAGATATTAACTTCAAAGCGTGAACTTTCCTCTCTTTGAAAAAATTTTGAACCAATTTGCTTGTGTTTAGGATCGCTTTCCTGATGACATCCATCCATGAGGCATTTTATCCTTTGCATCCATTCATGAGGCATTTTATCCTTTGCATGATGTAACATAATACTTTTATATATATATATCTTTGTATAGTTCTTGATCGGATATTTCAAGTATATATATATGGAGCGTATCATCACAAGTTGATTAAAGCATCCCAAAATTATTACATTACCTCCTCCATGTTTTACAGTTAGCAGATGAGACTTAGGATCATATTTTGTACCTACTGAACGCCAAACAAACTTGATTTTATCTGATTTGAGCTGCATAGACTTATTTTCATCACTAAAAAGAATCTTGATCAATGTTGGTTATTTTCATGGAAATCAATGGCTTTGAGGCCAGAAGTATTCCAAACACATTTTCATGACGTAAACAACGCTTTTTAATAGAAATACCACAATTCATCTCATAAAAAAGTTTTATTTGTTCATTCAAATTGCTGTCAAATGGGTTTTTTCGTTGCTTAGTATCACGAGTTTTTATTCTGACGAAATGTTGTTTTTCGTGGTTTTCCTGATTTTATATCTCTTCATAATTTGTCTATCAGCATATTTACTCCATAAAACTGTACTGTCTTACGAAATGAATTTCCTTTTGAACTGATCTTGTTATTAACTTTTTCACTGGAGATATTATATATTTCTTATATCCTCAATCACTTTTAAATAAAGTTTTTTTAATTATATCCACAAATATTTATTTATAATACCAATAACTTAGCATTTTTTTGTGAAAATGTAAAAAGCTGGAGTATCCGCAAATTTTTGAGCTCGTTAAAAATCATTTATTTTTTAAAGAAAAAGTTAGATAAGTGATTTTTTAACAATTTATAATTGTTTTATTTTTAAGAACACTAAGGTTTTTTTTTTTTTTGAAAACACAAAACATATTTGACATGTTTAATATGACTAAAATATATATTTACTGTTAATATTTTCCCGTCGTAATATTTTAATGTATCGTTTATGAAGTTATGCTGTAATACAATAAATTATTCAAAATTATAATTCTTAAAACACTTACCTTCTATAAACGTTGTAATATTGATAATAGTAATGGTAAAAAACAACCCAAATTTGTAAAACATTTAAAAAATTATATTTTTAAATGTTGAAAGCCGATAACATAAGTTACAAAAAATTTTATAAGCAGTTTTTAACTCATGCTTGATAATAAAACTAAGAATTCCTAAATTTTAATGGATTATCAACAATTAATTTTGATTGCATATTTTATTCTTTTATCAACAAACAGTTTTGTTGATAATAAGCAAACACTTTTATTATTAAATTAATGGTTTTTAGTTAAAAACCAATTAATTTGTTAAAAAAAGCAAGGAGTTACGTTGGCAGGACTTTAATGATGTTTCAGATATAACACTATCAAAGAATGTACAAACTTTAAACTAAAACATGTTTATGCTAATGTGAAATAAGAATGTTTTTCAAAAAATACGTGTTGGTTGGAGGCTGGGAACAAAAGTATTCTAAAAATCTCGCTACCTTACGCCAAGGACAGGGCAATTTGAAAATAGATAATATTTATTAACATTAAACTTAAATTCACCTTTATTTTTTAAGTTTCATTTAATAATCTGTTTAAAAGTTATGATCATGTATAACTTCCGCATTCTCCGATATGAGGGGGTTGTAGATAAAAAACTATTCAATAAAAAAAAAAGCATGCAATTAGATTATTATTAAACGTACACCGTCCCCAGTTAACCATTTCAACTGGGGAAAACGCTGGGACCATGGCGCTCTTTAAGTTACAGGCCGTGACACGCAAAGTTTAGAAAAAAATGTGGGTGCCGATATTAACTTAACTTAAGTTATTATATTGTTAACACATGGTCTAAATTTGAAGAAATCTTGCGATACTTGAACCTTTTGACACCAAACAGTAAGGAAATAGTAATGAATGAGCAAATTGATTCCATGAACACAAATAAGTATAGTCTTTGTGTAATCATCAGAGCATTTGAGTATTTTGCTACCTCTCGTACACTTTATAAAAAATTGCGTGATGATTTTAAACTACCTTCTATTCGAACGTTGACACGCATTACTTCTAAATTATCAAAATCTGATGATAATTTTTTTTTAAAAGAAGTTTTTGATAATTTAAGTGATGATCAAAAAACTTGTATTATTCTCTACAATGAGGTTTATGTTAAAAAAATGTTATTATATCATGGAGGTGCTCTTTTTGGAAAAGCATTAGATAACCCAGATTCTCTTGCAAAAACTGTTTTAGGTGTCATGATAACTTGTATGTTTGGTGGACCTAAATTTCTTGTGAAAATGTTACCTGTAAACAAATTAAATTCTCAATTTTTATATGATCAAATTCATTTGACTGTTGAAGCAGTTAAAGAGTCTAATGGCAACGCAAAGGTAATTATATGTGATGGAAATCAAACTAATCAAGCATTTTTTTTAAAATTTGACACATTTCCTGTAAAACCTTGGCTAACCACCAATGGAACCTATTTATTGTTTGACTTTGTCCACTTAATCAAAAACATCCGAAACAATTGACTCACAGAAAAAAAAGGAGAATTAATTTTTTATGAAAATGGTGTTGAGAAAACAGCTTGTTGGAGTCATTTAATAAAACGTTTTGAAGCTGATTCTAATTCTCTAATGAAACTTTCTGATTTGAATGAAGTTTCTGTTCAACCCAGTCATATTGAAAGACAATCTGTTTCTACCTGTCTAAAAGTGTTTTCTGAAAAAACATACAGCGCTTTACTTAATCATCCTGAAACCTCCAACATCTTAAACATAAATGAGACTGCTGATTTTATTAAAATGGTTGTTACATGGTGGAAAATTTTAAATGTAAAAAGTGTGGGTGTAGATTATTGGTTTAATGATGATCGACAAGCTGTCATCAGAGATCCAAATGATGATAGATTAAAATTTATTTGGGATTTCGGAGAAATGGCATTACGTATGACAAGTAATCAAGGGAAGCGTATAAAACAATTAACACATGATACAGGATATTCCATAAATCATACATGTAAAGGAATTGTTGAGTTGACAAAAACACTATTAAAAGAAAAACACAAATATGTTATGTTGGGAAAATTTACAACAGACCCACTTGAAAAAGACTTCAGCAAGTAAGACAAGGATCTGGTGGCACATATTTTTTAAGTGTCCAACAAATAATTGAAAAGTTCAATATTTCTAAAACTTCACTTTTGTTGTCATATAACATTAATGAGTCAACTTCTGATGCAGGACATTCTTGCCAATTTTGTGGATTTTTACTTGATGAATCTTCAGCTGAGGTCTTTCATAATTTACCAACACTAGAAAAAAGTATAACTGTTCAATCAAAGATGTCTTTATGTTTATAGATGTTTATATTGCCGGATATGTGTCTCGTAATGATGATTTGCTTAACGAAAATGAACTTTTAACCAGAACAATGTTTTATTTTGAAAAGTTTGGTCAATATCTAAAATCAGTCGATATAGGTGGGTTAAAAGTTCCTTTTGATAATACTGTTCAATGGGTTTTCTCATTTCTACTATTTAACTCTATTAAAGATAAAGTTTGTCGGACATCCCTGTGCAACACTTTTATGCTTATTAAAGATAAAGTTTGTCGGACATCCCTGTGCAACACTTTTATGCTTATTAAAGATAAAGTTTGTCGGACATCCCTGTGCAACACTTTTATGCTTATTAAAGATAAAATTTGTCGGACATCCCTGTGCAACACTTTTATGCTTATTAAAGATAAAGTTTGTCGGACATCCCTGTGCAACACTTTTATGCTTATTAAAGATAAAGTTTGTCGGACATCCCTGTGCAACACTTTTATGCTTATTAAAGATAAAGTTTGTCGGACATCGCTGTGCAACACTTTTATGCTTATATCGGATCATTACTCTTTTGACATCATGGAAATATACTGTCAAATATTTTTATCAAAAACCACTGCAAACTTTCTACACCAAGATCAAACAAAGAACCGTCTCTGAAAATTTTAAAGTTGTCTTGTTAAGTTGACAGTTATTTATTGACACTTAGCTGTTATTTCTTTATTGAAATCTATTAATTGATTTAATGTTTCTGTTTTATGATTTTAAAAGTATTTCTTATTTATTTAAATCACTAAAATATATTCCTATTTAAAGGTGCAGTTACCCGAACAGTAATTTATTTAACTTTTGTTTTTTACCTGATATAAAACTTTTTTATTTCATTATTTAAGCAATTTTATGAATTTGAAACAATTAAATAAAGTTTATTGTTAAAAACTTAAAAAGATTTATAAATAGTACAAATTTTTACATAGTTTAATGCTTTATCTAACGGGCGCAACACATTTTGTTTTAAAACAATTATCATATTGATTTTTGAAATATCGCCCCCCACATTTTTTTCTAAGTTTTGCGTGTCATGGCCTGTTACTTATAGATTGCCATGGCTGGGACCCATCTGGGTCCCATTTCGATTCTGTCAGTGGGATCCAACTGGGTCCCATCTGGGATAAGTCTGGGATTTTGACGGGAAATCCCATATTGAACCCAAATATTTTTTTCATTTACCGCGGGTTTTCTCAAACTATAGTTAGTTTTTTCGCAGATTTTATGTATCTCGAATCTGCGAAATGTGACAATTTTTTGAAAAAGCGTCGCATTTTTTATATAAAATTAAAAAGTAAAGGTTGTTTATATTATCTATATTGAATTCGCTTTTAGAGCAATAAAATGTATTAGGCAAATGAATATTTAGTCTGACATAATTTCACGAATCAATTGAAAAAACATATTTGAATTTCATAATATTTTTAAGCAACAAAAAACTAATATTATACAATGATTTGATGCAAAACTGTTCTACGGTGATAATATTCTGCCACAGTAGTTCTCTCATATCGCCACCATAACCGCATGACAAAATTCTGCTTTAAAGTTTATCGTTATCGGTTTCTTTAGTGCTTTCATCCACTTTTACACTAATTTTATAAATTAAAAATAAACATTTGAATAATATAATAAATTATAGCATATATGTTTAACAACAACAAGATATCCTTTTCAAAATTTACATATAATCATATAATAACAATAATAATAATATTATCTATAATAATACAAACAATATAATTATAATAAAATATAACTAATAAAAATAAATATAAATAGTTATTTGAAAAGGAAGGTGTCACTCAAACAGAAGCCTGATCAAAGGAGTGACACCAAATAATTATAACAATAATAATTAAAAAATAATAATATTATCTAGAATGATACAAACAATATAATTATAATAAAATATAACTAATAAGAATAAATATAAATAACTATTTGAAAAGGAAGGTGTCACTCAAATAGAAGCCTGATCAAAGGAGTGACACCAAATAATTATAAAAATAATAGTTAAAAATAATAATATTATCTATAATTATACAAATAATATGATGACATGAGTGCCATTCAAAATCAAAATGAGTGACACCAATTAATTATAACAATTAGTATAGTAATAAAATAATAATAAAAATAATAAATTTGAACCGAAAATCGCAAAGAAAATAAATAAAATAATAATAACAACGATAAAGCGATACGATAAACAACGATAACGATAAACAACGATAAGTTAAATAATAAGACAAAAAATATGAAAACACTCAATAACAAACCTTACACAAACGAAAAGGTAAAACACAAAAACAACAAGATGAAACACAAAAACAACAAAACGAAAAGGCAAACACATCCACTTCTACAAAAAAAAAAATTAAAAAATAAGGACAAATTTTAGTTATTTTTGCGAAATAATTAAAGAAAAAAAGGTCTAGAAAATTTGGTAAAATAGGAAACAACACTAAAATTAATTAGCACAAATAATAACAAACTTTACGCAAACGAAAACAGAAACACAAAAACTACAAAACGTAATGCATACACAAAATGATAATATTTAACAAATATAATATTTAATAAAAATAATTAATGGTAACATTATAACAATAATTAATAATTAATATAATAATAAAAAATAATAATATAACAAATATCACGTTAAAGAATTGTATAAGTATATATTGTGAAATAGTAAAATGAATAAATAATAATCTAATGTAAAATAAGTATCTAATACAAATATTAATTAAAATAAAATAAAATAAGTGATAATTACAACAAAGACTAGCTCAAAAATATCTTTTAAAACTTGATCTTATCTTTCTTCTCTTCCGCTTTTTTATTGGTTTCTTCTGTTTTTCTTTTTCTTATCTCTTTTTTTTCTTTTTTTCTTTTTTATCTTTTCTTTTAGTTATATTTAGGTGGTTAAAAATTCGAATTTATTTTTTTGTCTATTCTTTTTAAAGTTTTGTCTATTCTATTCTATTTTTTATCTATTCTGTCTATTTTATTCTATTCTATTATTTCTGTCTATTCTGTCGATTCTAATCTATTTTTGACTATTCTATTATATAAAAATTAATACTGGAGAACTGAAGTCTCGATATGACACTATGAATAACGGTTTACAAAGTATAGATAAAAATATTTATTGATAATATTATTTAGGGCATACCATGCAGTGTGCCATACCATGCCATATCTTGCATATAACTAACAAACACTAGGCAAACAAAATCACATGTACAAATCACAAGCTAACTCAATACAATATATAAATCCATATACGTGTTATAATAATAGTCAGACTGAGGTAGGGCAGGACAATTAAATATTCACATAGTTTGTTGTTATAAAAATAACAAAAATAAAAAATAAAATCAACATAACATATAATAAAATATAAAAATAAATACTGGAGAACTGAAGACTTGATATGACACCATGAATAACTGTGTTTCAACTTCTTTAGTTGGCATCATCTAGTTTTAAAAATTTCTTCAGTTTTTCTTTTTAACAGGCATCCTGCAGGGAATCTAAAAAATGTTATTTCATGGTAAATAATTATGTTAATAATTAGGCATGACATAAATAGACTTGTAAACAACAATAATATAACATGAATACTATGTTACCATTTAAAATTTAAAGTCTTGACTCAAGTTAACCTGACATCAAACCATTAAATCAGTTGGTGAGGGTTTAATATCTTTTATATAATTAAATAAATGCAAAAATAATCAATATCACTAACATTTTGATTGTACCTAATTAAACAATAATTATTTTAGGTTATATTATTACTTGAAAATAATTATTTGTTACAATTTAAACATATTGAAAAAAATTAAAAACAATTGTAATTTTGACCACAATAAATTTTGTAATAAAATTATTTTCACAATGAAAATTTACAATTATAAACAAGTGTAGAGTACTTATATCATTATATATATAATAGTTATTTTCATGATTAGTCTAACATAACGTATTTCAATTGTCATGGACCAGAATTTACTGTTTAATTTCATGTTGTCTTAGAGCTACATTTTGTGATTATATATTAAACTTATTTCACAGTAGATTCTAAAAAATATAACACCCTACCAAATTGGTTTAAAAAATCATTGATGACAATACATGCTGCCATTAAACTATTAAAAAATTGACTATTGAAATGATATTGCATGAATAACATACATGCTTTACTATATATAAATATTATTACTAGTAAATATTATTCTACTAATCAACAGATAAATGAAAATAAAAATAAAAACAAACTACCATTGAGGTACCAAATGAAGTTTATGTGAAAAATCCTTTAAATATATATTTATTCCAAATCATGTCACACTACTGTATATGTAGTTTTAAAAATGTTTTTTATCATATATATTCATAAAATTTTAATGAAAATAATGTTAAACACACTATTCTTGTTCTAAAAATATGTGCTATCATAATAACATTCACATTTCCTAGAGATTCACAGTCCATCTTCTATTCACAGAACTTATCTATTCACAGAAGCCCAGGTCAATATTAGGAAAAACCTGTATATTTTGCAAATTCTATATATTTTTAATATACAGAAATTATTTTATCAGGGTTGCCACTATAATTTTTAAAGTTTTTCCCTGAGTATTCCCAAGGTAAAGAACATTTTTCCCTGAGTTGAACTCTTTAAGTTCCCTGAGTTTTCCCTGACTTTTCTTTCTTTATTCTTTCCTGTTCATCAAGGAGATTATTATTTTCCTTAATTAAACACAATCTTTATATTTGACAAACTAAAACTTTTACAACAACACCCACAACTAGCAAACTTATTATTATATGTATTAGCAAAATATTTTTGAAAAATAAAATTATTGTACAAAATTAAAAAAAAAAAAATTATTTTCCCTGAATTTTATGACAATTTTAGAAAATCCCTGAGTATCAAGGTTTTCCCTAGAATTCATGCTATTTCCAGGTATTCCAGGTTTTTCAAGTTGAGTGGCAAACCTGTTTATTTATTTTATCAAACTTTGTAAACTAATAGTTTGAGATATTAAAAATATTCAAAATAATGTTATCAGATTAAGTGTTAACTTACTAGATTTAGATAAACCATTTCATAGGAGATTATATAACTAATGTGTAAAAAACTAACATTTGTTGAAGTAATGTATTTTCTGTTGTTAATCATAAACCAACACAAACCAACTCTAAAAACAAAACATAGATACTATTGAACCTCTTTAATAAATTTAATAAAGTTTTATTCAAATTTAAAATTTAATTAAGTTGTATACAAAAATAACATAGATAAAAAATTTATTACCAAAAAAATTTTATATCTTTTTTATAACTATGTAAATAAACATATTATATATGACTATATGATATCATATAACACAATGAAGTTAACTTACTATAGCAAGTAAAAAACACAAAACACTTATGATTAATGAAAGATTCAGTTTTTGCAATATTTAGTATCAAAACTACATTTTCATTTTTATATTGCACTTGAGTAGCATTTTATGATTGTATATTTAATTTATTTCAGAACATATTCTAAAAAAATTATATAACATCCTGTGATAATTAAAAAACATCTTAAAACCTTAAAAGTCAACATTTCCCTCTTTTACACTAGCCAAATTGTTTCTTAAACAAATGTTTGAATATTGCTATCAAAATATATATAAATATTTATATTTTAAAGAATTAAAAAATGTATTTAATAAATAAATATATTTAAACAAAATGTGATAATTTTCTTATTACTTCAGATAAATAAAGCTAAACATTAAAACATCTAATAATTTTTGTTATTACTTAGTATTATTTACAAATAATTCACAATATAAGTAATTTAAACATTTTTTCATACAAAACCTTATATTATAACTTATAATATCAGTTACAGTATTTATAAGTATTATATTAATTATATAAATTATAAAAAATGTAAAACATTTATGTATTTATAAATAATATGTAAAGTTTAGATAACACAGTATTACTTAGTAAAACCTTATCATGTTTTGTAAAGTGTCATTGAGATTTGCTTGAAAAAGATAATTTAAAATGAAACACACTAACTTTGTGTATTTCATTTTTGTAACTTAGTGACTAAGCCATAACTGTTAGCACACAAAACCATAAAAACTAATTTGAAAAATTTTCAATATTTGTCTATTGCATAAAAAAATAAAAATATGTCTTCAGTTTGATTAATCATTTTACAACTCTGTAAAAAAGTAAACATTGACATACTCTCAAACTTATTAATGGCTATGAAATTTAGAGCATTTAAGAAGTTTAAGAGTATGCCACATTTTTTTGAATTAAAACTGATATGTAAATAATTATTTTTTTGAAAAAATACTAAAAATGAACCAAATTAAGTTCCTGTTCACTCCAAATGCAAGTGTATATTCAATCCAAATCAATCTGCGTTACTGTATATGTCATTTTAAAAGATTTTATCATATTTTCAAGCATAATTTTTGCTGCAATCACTGCACCATATGGGACCCATCTTTTACCCAGTTCAAATCCCAACCGTAACTCAGTTCCAATAATCTAGTTACATTCCAGCTGGGACCCAGTTGTTGTGGTTAACTGGGCAGTTTATCATTTTTATTACTAATTACTATTATTTACAAGTAATTCACAATATAAATTATTTAAATATTTTTTCATACAAAACCTTATACTACAAATTAAAATTAAAGTTATAATATTTATAATATAACTCAAATTATAAATATTATCACTTTTAAAACATAGTAATATTATGTTTTATCACAAAACATAATATTACTATGTTTTGTAAAGTGATAATATGACTATTAGTAAGGTTTTACTAAGTGACACAATATATAAACTTTAGATATCATTTATGAATGCATAATATAAATGTAAGAATTAACATTTTCTATAAGTTATATATTTGATAATATATTACTTATACTATGAGAAATATATTAACTATATTACTTATTTTCAAATAAATCATTTAATAAATGGTTTATGTATTTATAAATAATATGCAAGTTTTACATACTTATGAAAAAAATTAAAATGATACCTTTATTAAATGTAAGATTTTACATATTTTAAAAGTAATATAGTTAATATATTTCTCATAGTATAAGTAATGTAATATATTAAAGTTTACGTACGGCAGTGCTACATAGTAAAACTTTGCTATGTTTTGTAAATAAAATTTGTCTTAGTCATTTTACAAAACTTATCAAATTCAAAGGTTTTTCAAAAAGTCTATAAGATTTGTTTGAAAAAAAACATTAAAATTAAACACACTAAGCCATTACTGTAAGCACACCAAGCCATATAAACTATTTTTAAAAAAGGTAAATCTGCAGTTAAGCGGCGTAAAATAATTATATATTTTTTACTTAAAAAAATCAACGGTGGTGAGCGTATTATGTAAAGTTGCGTTACGTAAGATATCATAATTATTAAAAAATAAATCTTAAATCAATTATTAAATTTTAAAAGCGAGTTTTAAATTTTATCTAGGAGTTTAGTTGGCGTTTTCAAAGTTTTTAAATTTTTAAAGTTTAAGTGCGTTAAAGTTTGGATTCTATATTCCAAAGTTTTGTATTAATATTTTCCAGGTAAACTTCAATTTTATTAAACTTTAGTATTGATATAACTTCAACTTTAATGATGGTATTACTTGCTTAGCTTATTTAAATATTTACATATTTTATTAGACGGCTATGCTACCAGTTGGTCGTGGACGTCCAAGTGCCCCAACGACTATTATTGATGAAATTATTCCTGAACAAGTTGTGTTAAATGAAAATTGGCGTTTAACGGAGCTTAGCCACAACATAAGAGAACCACTAGATGCTTTAAAGTGGCTGGCAAAGCGTAGAATAATAAAAAATAATGTGGAGTGCAACAATTGTCAACAGCCGTTTAGTTTAAACGCATATAAAGATGCCGCGGATGCTTTCCGTTGGTACTGCAAGGGGTGCAAACAGAGGCAAAGTGTTAGAGAAGGATCTTTTTTTAGCAAAAGTAGGCTACCGCTACAAAAGTTAACTTACTATATTTATGCCTGGAGTCGAAATATGCCTCAGAAAGAAATACAACACGAAGCCGGTATGAACGACGCTAGTCATACTTTTGCTGATTGGGCCAACTTTTGTCGCGATGTTTGCGAAGTTGAACTAGAAACAAATCCTTCAGTTATTGGTGGTATCAACGCTGACGGGACACCGATTGTAATTGAAATTGACGAATCTAAGTTTTTTTCATCGCAAATACCATCGCGGGCAATGGCGACCAGGTCATTGGATGTTTGGTGGTATTGAAAGGGTTTCGCGGAAGTGTTTTTTAGTCGAAGTGCCAGATAGAACTGCTGAGAGTCTCCAAAACGCAATATTGGAATTTATTTTGCCGGGAAGTCATATCGTTTTAGACGGATGGGCATCTTATGCTGGGATTGAAAGGCTGAATGATGGAATTTATTCCCATGCTGTTGTTATCCATGAACGTCACTTTGTTGATCCGTTAGATAACGAAATCCAGACTCAAAACATCGAGAATTAAGTGTAAACTGCGGCAACAGTTTGGAACTTATGAAGATTTATTTACATCACATCTTCATGAATTTATTTGGCGACAAAGATTTAAAGAATTTCCAATATTCTCAGCATTTCTTACTTGCGTTTCCCGTCAGTATCCTCTATAACTGATACATTTATAAAACGGCTATTTTCATAGCCACACATTTTTAAAAACATGGCTTAAACAAAAATTACGATAGAGTGTTTAGGTGCAGGGCAGTACCGATATTAGTTTTTAATGAAAAAAAAGAGGGAAAAAGAAGAATGATGAAAATAAATTGATTCCTGCCCTAACCCTGACCCTTCGATGTGTTACCAACTCCCTTGCGAGTTTTCCCTAAGTCAGTCGACGTGTTGTATTGAAGCCCTCGCCTACCCCTAAATCAGTATAGCGTCAAAGCGCTAACCAAATTTATTATTTAATGTTTATTATTTTTAATATTTAATATTTATTATTTATATATAATATATTATTTTTATATAATATATTAATACAATATGCATTATTTTATATATAATAATAATAATAATAATAGTAATAATATATGTATATATGTATATATATATATATATATATATATATATATATATATATATATATATATATATATATATATATATATATATATATATATATATATATATATACATATATATATATATATATATACATATATATTATAATTATTATTATTATATAGAAATATATTTGAAAATAAAAATATAATTTTTTTTAAAGCTTTCTTATTTTAAACCTTTCAAAGCAATTAAAACTCGTTTTGAATTTCTTTTGTTTTTTAGTCTCCGCGAACGAGAGCGCAAAAAGCAAAATAATATAATTATTTTACGCCGCTTAACTGCAGATTTACCCTGCTTTGATTAGAAATACACGCTACCATCAAACTACGCGTCCCACCTTCAAACCAGCCGTAAACTATTTACGTAAGCCCCATGCCAATCCCACTAAAAAACCAGACTTCATTTGCGGCAATACTTTTACACCATAAGGAACCCATCTGGCACCCAGAACAAATCCTAGCCCGAACCCAATCCCAGTAATCTAAGTTCAATCCCAGTTCATCCCAGCTGGGACCCAGCTGGGTTGGTTAACTGGGTAACTCACATTCACAACCATTGTTTAATAAATTTAAAAAATACTATATATCATATTTAATAAAAATATTTGATATTGTAATTTTATAAAAATACTTTTAACACACTATCAAAAATCAAAAAATTGAACATGGTTTTATGCAGGGGGAGAGGTTATTTATAAACTGAACATGGTTTTATGCAGGGGGAGAGGTTATTTATAAATTGGACATGGTTTTATGCAGGTGGAGAGGTTATTTATAAATTGTTTAACATAGACATACAACCCTACTATATTTTTAACCATAGTTTAACGTAATTGGTTGCATTTTTTACTACTCCTTAAATTTATTGCTGATTTAGTGTTAAAAAAACAGTTTAGTTCCGATAAGCTTTTGATTAATTATATCGTGCTTTTATATTTTGTTATATCACTGTAATATCATGCTTTCAGCAACTTATAAGATAAGTATATGTATTTTCACTTGCATTTTAAATCTTATGAAATAAATGAAAAACTGCATAATCTAGAGCGGTATAGTTTACTCTGTGCAACTGATAGAATAATAAAGTGTTTTTTAAATTATGCTTTGTTTTTGCAATACTGACAGTATATGAATTATTTATTAATCATTGCTGCAGTGACTCCATTGAGAAAAGAATGCTTTTGCTTTTGCCATCAATTGTAATACATTTGTAGAAGGCACCTTTTAGCAACTATTAGCCTATTTTTCAATCCTAGGCTGTTGTTCATCATAATCTAAACCATTTTACTTTACATCAATTATCAAACACGTTCATTCCAAATATTTTAATAGCCTGAAAGTCTAAATATGTTTCTCGGAAAGCAAAAACATAAAGTATATTTAATTTATATGGCTCTTACTGTATTATTCACAGCAATATTATTCACTTCTAAGTTTTCCTACAGGTCATGTAATTCATCTTGATCCATTGTGAAATCCTATTGTCAGATCTAATTTATCATTTATTATTAACTCAATTATTATTGAGTAGCCTTGGCGCAGTGGTTAGAGTTCTTGCTTAGAACCCAGAGGTCCCAGGTTCAGCGCCGGCTTTAACCCAATAAGCGACATTGGTAAGGAAGGAGGCGTGAACCTCTAATTAAATGCAAGGATTTCTGGGAGCACCTAATTAGGTAAAAAAAAAAAAATTAACAATGAATAGGATACTTTGCATACAGCAATTTCAAACTTTTTAATAACATGTTGTGCAAATCATAAACTGGAAACAAATAAAAAAAAGTTAATGGTTTAATTTAGTGATGAGAGAATACTCTGCTTTGTAAAAACAGGGAATGATTTAGTGTTGCTACAATAAAACCGGGAATGTTACAATTTTTGTTGTTTTGATTAGTAAAAATAAGGTAAAAAAAACACAGCGGACATACCATGTTGCTAAATATAGAAAAACATTTTATACTTTTTTTTGTTACCTCTTTCCCAAATAAAATTGAGATACTTCGAGAAATTGCAACCTCTAAAATTCATCCAGATAAAATACTTTTTAGAGAGAGTTGGAACGGGCAATTCTCTGATGAAAATAGAGTTCTCTATCCCGTGCATTATCTCTGCCGGATAATGATAATTTTTAACATTAAAATGATAATCAATTAATTTATTCTCGCCGGCATTTGGTCTGCAAAACACGTACTTTGTACGTTAAAGAAATCACAACGTACTAAAGACGTTTAAAAAAAATTTTTTTTAACCGTCTGCTGCTGGGAAAAAATAAGTTGTGGTTTGTAAAAAGAAACTACAGTTTCAATTGCTCAAAGCCAACCTTAGTAAAGAAATACGTTTCGCAACTCAAAAACCGGAAATGTCAATTTTAGATAAAGGTTGCTGTAGCAACCTTTATCTAAAAAATTCTGTAGCAAACAAACAGTTTTTGCAAAAATTGAAATCAGTTTTTTCTTTCATTCTAAGTTCAATTAAAAAAAAAAAAATCTAGGCAAGGCTGTTTCTTGTAGAACAAAAAGGTAAGGAAAGTCCTTAAAAAATGAATTTGATTTATCTCAGCTTGCGAAAAACTGACATCCCCTGTTCTTCCCTTGTATCCTTCAAATTATTTAGTTTCTCCTGTTGAATTATAAAAAGTTAATTTCTGTGAATATATATATGTTCATGTTCATGTATTTTTTGTTATTTTTATACTTTTTTTATCGTAAATAGATTTTTATTACAAAATAGTTTGTTGTAGACTATTTTATGTTTGTGGCTGTTAATGCAGTGTTAAGCGACAGTTTGGCTGATGTTCGTTTTACAACGATCATTGTGTGCTTTAGTTATTTTATTTTTTTTTAAATCGAAGTAGTGGTTGTCATATTTCGAATGAAGTATCTATATGAGGTAAAGACACCTTTAGGCATTAATTAATCTAACTTTAATAGTATTTTTTGTTAAAACTGAGCATTAATTTTTCTTAACTCAAATTTCTTGGGATAGCACCTTAAAAAAAAAATTAAACAAACCGAATTTAATTTGCCATAAATCAAATACGATTCCTATTTTATTTAAAAACATTTAAACACTGTATTTTCTAGTCTGCATTATGATGAATATCTCGATGCATTATGAGAACAAACTTAATAATTGAATATTTCATATAATTTTTTGATAATTGATTATTTTATGTAACTTTTTGAAATGTAACCAGCAACTTCAACGCCTTTTTTTGGAAACCTAACCTTCATATTTATTTTGTTTGTAGATTTTTAATAAAAGCCAACAAATTTTTGTAAATTTTGCGTTTGAAAAATACTCTCAATATATGCTAATATAACAAACAGTAGCAGCAGCAACGCAGCGCAACACAGCTTTTCATTAAATTTTAATTTGATGAAAAGCTGTGAAAATTATAATCTTAAAGGGTTGTGTACTAAAGTGTGCAATGACTAATAAAATATGTTAACTTATGTTAAATAAAGTTATGCAAATAAAACAAATATTGCTTAAAAAAGTTTACCTTGCTTTAAAAACTTTAAAAAGTTTGCTTGAAGACAAACAAAAAAGGAACGCATAACAACTATATAGCAAAAAAAACTCATAACAACTACATAGCAAAAAAAGATAAACTACATATAAATAAAGTAGTATGATAATATTTTTTGTTCTATGCGATGTCACACAGTAAAGTAGAACTACAGTTTATGTAACTTGACAAAAAATGTTCAATTTAAAAAACTAACAAAAACAATTCCATATGTACATTGATTAACAATCATTTATAAAACAGACAAGACGATTTTGAACAGTTCTTTAAGCCTCTTTATTCTTCGATTATGCTTGAATTTAATGCGCTGGTTAAGTTAATGTGGGGTTAGCTTAGGTTTATTGAAGCATTGTCATATCACCCAACATTAATGACGCCCGACAAACATTTGCAATCAAGTTGTCTTAGACCATTTAACCTTGCTGAACACATTATTTGTGACCATGGTGAAAATGCCATGGGGTCGCATAAGCCGTATGATGCTCTTCCCATTGTTCCACCTCATGATGATGTAGTTCTAAATTAAGGAAGATTCGTTATTTATAGTTTCTTAAGTATTTTTGTGCCATGCCTCGTGTATTTACTTTAAAGTATTAATGTTAATTAAGTTTATATTAAAGTGTCGAGTACCGCGCGTAAGTGTAGTACCGCGCGTAATTTGTTTCTTCGATATCAAGATCTATTTTTCTATCAAGATCCATTTTTCAAAGTTATAGAATTAGAAGAGAGAAAAAAGGAACATCCTTCTCCATATTAGTTCAAACTTGATTAAAATATAACTCGAACTATAAAATTCTTTTTCCCATTTTTCGTTTTGGTAAAAGTACATTACAGAAAATAACATACCTTATTAAAACAACAATAGTGTGTATGCATTATGGTGGTCTGTAATGAAATTCTGTAAAATGCATAAAAAATAAATTATTTAATAATATATTTGTACATGATATACTTTTAACAACAATAAAAGACGTTTTCAGCCTTTATCAAAAATAAATGTAATGAATTCTATACCTGGACAACCAGCACCATTTGCGCCGTTAGCTGCATTCTCACCATCAGGGCAGCAACCAAATCTTGTGTTGCGGCAATTAGGAAGATTTTCATTATGATCCTCATAATGATGAACTAAAAATTTATTTAAAAATTGTGATCCTCATAATGATGAACTAAAAATTTAAAAACCTTAAACGATTATAAGACTATTTATATAATAAATAATAAGTTTTTAAGGAAACCTGAAGCTGATTCAACTTCACATGTTAGACCTGCAAAACTACTTGGGCAATGACACTCATATTGAAGACTGGCATGTGCAACACACACACCTCCGTGTAAACAAGGGTTAGGATGGCAACGATCTTCCTCTTACAGAAAAATGAAAAATAATATATTTTAATAATTTTAATCAAAATCAAATAAACAAAAATTAAAATGTTTTTACTTTACTCTACAACAAATAAATTTTTTTTTTTGCAACAAAGCCTACATTAAAAAATAATTTATCTATCTTCACAACTAAGTCTACATCAAATAGAACTAATTTACATTCACAACTATGTCTATAACAAACATAATTTATTTACCTTCACAACTAAGCATACATCAAATATAATTTATTTACCTTCACAACTAAGTCCTGACCATCCAAGATTGCAATGACATCTAAACTCTTCACCTTCTGGCATACAAAGAGCATCATGATGACATGGATTTGGATGACAAGGATCACGTTCTAAGATCCAATGTATAAAAATAAAATTATATCAAAACATCTAAAAATTAAATATAAAATAAAAAAATATCTTACCAGTGCAGTGTATGCCTTTATATGCGCTAGGACACTGACATGTGTAGGAGTCTGCATTTTCAAAACATATTCCTCCATTTAAACATGGATTAGGAAAGCAATGATCTTGTTCTAAGAATAAAAGCAAGTTTTTTTTTAAACATTTTCTAACATTAAAATCATAAAAAAAACCTGAAATAAAAAAAATTTGTCTAACTAGAATTCCTTTGTGTTTATTCTCAATTAATCTCAGAGTCCCTAATAAAAGGGGAGCAGGTGTTTATAAATTTTTGGAAAATTTTTTCACCACCCCAAGCTTGTTAAGACCCCCCTGTTTATTAATTTTTACTTGTTATCAAAAATAAAAAAAAAAAAAAAAAAAAACAGAAAAAACAGAAAAAATCGGCCTCAGAAATTAAAAAATTATTATTTCACTGATAAAAACAAAATTTTTCGGTGTAAACAAGCTTTAAAAATCACCGACCAAGTAAATCTTGATTTATCGAAAATGAGCTTTTAATTTATTTCTCACCAAAGTATAAAACTTATATCAACATATTAAATCCTATTGAGATTATTATAAAACTGCTGTTAGAAAATATGCATTTGACCGCTAGCCATGCTAAATTAAATAGTTTTGTGTGTTTTGTAAAAATATTAGTTTGAATTTATAAACTGAAATTTTTATAAAAATACTTATATTATAACATAAAAAAATTCCACTCTCCCTTTTATTAAAACCTCCCCATTTATTAGATCTGGACTCCCCCCCCCCCCCCCGTTGTATTATTAAGACTCAAGAGTATTATTCTTACTACTAGCTGAGATCAAGAGTATTATTCTTACTACTAGCTGAGGACCCGTAAAAATGCGGGTCTTGTAGATACGTAGAGCGTAGAGCTTATACGAGATTTAGAATTAGGTTTGTTTTTCTACTAAATGCATTTCATTAATAGCTCAGTGAATATATGCGCTGTCATCAGTATTGTTTTGGAGGGTTTAAGACCTCCTCTTAACGTAGTAAGTTTTGAAATTTTTTTAATCTTGCTTATATATTTTTAGCAAAAAAATAATAATATAGCAAAAAAGATTTCTAAAATTTAAAATAAAAATTTAAAGTTTTCTCATTTTGTAGATATTTAATATGCAATATGCAAATGTGCAATTATTCCATAAAATGCCTGCAAACTCAACATATGCTAAAGACGTTTGCACTTACAGACGTTTGTATGTAACGCTATACAAATACAACTAAGAAGATCTTAGGGCACTAAAACATAGTTATTTAAAAAAAATCATTCTGATGATTATGATTAAGAACTAAAGAATATTATTAAATGCTAATCTAAAAGTTAAGCCAAAAAGATTTTGCGCATTAACGTCAGTTTGTGGCAAAATAAACCTTTATGCGTCAAGTTTCCTTTTGCATTTATCTTACTTTTTTTTTATTAATTTTAATTATGTTGCATACAAATGCATATATAAAACTTGTAGAGATATATCATTTTCACGGATAAGAGATTGTATTTATTACAATAGTAATAAATAAATAGTTTTTGTCTTTATTAGTATATATCCCATTAAAATTTATTTTCATATATCCTTAATAGAAAGAGTTTTTTAAAACAACTGAAATAAAATAATTTTATCTAGATTTGACGCATATTTGACGCATAAAGGTTTATTTTTAAAACAATTGAAATAAAATAATCTTAATCATTAGAAAAGTTTAAGTTATATTAAGTTTATATTATAGTTTATATTGAAACGTTATATAAGTGGATTTTTTACATTTTATAAACAATATATATAAAAAAATAACATATTTATTTATATATACATTGTTTATATAGGGATGGTTAAGCGCAACAAAGTTTAAAAAAAAATTAGTTTATATTAAAATTAAAAAATGATTTATATGTTTCCAACACACTATATTAAAATGTTAAAGTGCACCAAACTGCAATTACTTATTTTTGGTTTAGTGGCTTTTGTTAAGAGCTTCTAAATTTTGCATCAAATTATCTCATTTCAATATACTCGTTGTATCATCTATACTGCAGCCGTTTTTCAAAATGCCATAGGGTAAAAAATATAAAATTTGACTTTTTTACAAAATAAGCTAGTTTATATGTCTACAAACGTTATTGAATACATATTTTCAAAGAGTTCTAAAAAATTCATAAAAATTATTCATTACAAAAAACGTTTTACAAAGAGTTAATTTTTAATTTTTTTTTAATTGCGTTTTTCTAGAAACACATAATAAGCATATTAAGGCGTTTTGAAAAATGGCTTCAGCATATATTTATAGTAAAAAAATAAATGTAGCAAAAAAAACTTTTAATCGTCAAAAGAAAGTCTTAAATTTTTTTCTAGCTATGGTCTTTTTTATTGCATTCACAGCAGCACTATCTGGAGTAGTAGGACTGTTTTTGAAAGTATTTTTTTTAAGTGTCAGAAAACTTTTTTTTCAGACCATCCGCAGCATATTAGGACTAATTACCTCAGCACATTAACAACATAAGTATTTCAATTATGACAGATAAGCAACAATTTTTTTCTCTCGGTGTTTTGATGTTTTTAGAAATTTAAAGCTTTTTTAAAATCTTTTTGTTCGTTAAAGTGTATAATATTTACATATAGTTACATTTACATATAGTTATAATTTACATTTGTTTGTTACATATGTTTGAATATAATCTCTAAAAAACCAAAAGTATTTTGTATTTTAAAATAATAAAAAAAAAAAAAAAAAAAGTTGCCAGTGGTAGGATACGAACCAAGGCTTATTTGTTCATAAGCTCAACGCGCTTTCCACTCGGCCACGCTGACATCAAAAATGATGTTTTTCACGCTGTACATCAAAGTTAAAGAGAGCTTGACGCAATGCAATTTTTAAGTGAAAATCAAACTGTAAAACTTGATAAATGTTTCAGTATATTTTAAAATTACTTAATTTAAAGTTTACATACGTTAGAAATTTGCATACACGTTCGTTCACGTTTTCTTAAAAAACAAAGTGCTGCAACTCTTACTCACGACTACCTGAGTTGAAATGGTTGCAAAGGGTTTCGTGTCAAATACGCTCCAAGGGACACTACTATTAAAACTATTAAGTTCGGCATTATTATAAAGAAGATGAACAGGAGGCAAAATGCCATTAAAAATATTATTTGATTATCATTTAAATTAGCTTTAATTAAACTGCTCCTACATTATACAGGCTTGGTCGGGAAGCGGGTGCGATCGCACTCGATAATTGACCACGGAAATTATATTTACTTGCGAAAAGCCAGCCAGATTTTTCAGGCGTTTTGAGAACATTTCAATTTATGTATGTTTCCTTGTTTGTCCGCAAAATAATAAGTTCATTTTATTGTAAATTTTAAAAGATTTTGTTTTACGGACGTACGTGGAAACTTATATAAACTTGAATGTTGTCAAACATCTTAGTGCGGAAAAATAAATAAAGAATATTCGCAAACACAAAAAACCCGCCAAATTTACGAATAACTAATTCTATTGGTTCAATTAATAAATAACTGAAATTACTAAAGAATTCAAGCGAATGTTCTAGAGTATTCTGTTGAATTATTTTTCAAAATTGTATAATTTGAGTTTTGTTATGTTTTCGTTGAGATTTCTAGCATCAATTGCTTTAAGAATATACTATCAAGCGAACAATTATTTTAATACAGTGGCTCATTCTCGGAGTCACATCTACAAAGCTATAAATGTTTTAAACTAACATTTGTTTACAAAAATAAATGTTTTAAATTTATATTTTTAAACTTGTCAACGTTTTGTAAATATATTATAGATTTAATTAGTATAATCTTATTTTTTATATAAGGGATATATTTATATGTATGTAATGTATTAGAAATTGGTTTATTAACTTCAACTATTTTTGCTTCAGCCATTCTTACAAACTTGTTATACTTACACTTAAAGTTACTTTTTTCTGTAAAATACTAGTTAAAGATATAAAGCCCACTCACTAAACATCATCAGCGATATTGTTAAGCAGTTCCGCTTCCTCCTTACTAAATAATTTAACGTTTTTAGTTAATTTCTATCTAGCTAATTAAATTTCCACAGTAACTCAATGATTTAGTTATTTCATTTGTTTATCTTACTAAGAAGAATTGTTTCAAATATGTTAAACTTTTCAAACTAAGCGAAGCATAAAACAGGTACTGAAAAAAATTTTTTTTATTTATAATTAAATTATGTAGCGTTAGTTTAATTGGTTTAATCTTGTTGGACTTTACAGGGTCGGGGGCTGCATTATTTTGGTGGCCTTTTTTATGTGCGACAGTGTAAAAATGACTTAAAAATACTGATAGGTCCTCTTGACTATTTCTCGGCCCATAACATTGTGTGTCCCGGGACTATAGCTCTTCTACCCCCCCACCTCTTATTTCCAGCACTGGAAATAAGTCATAAGTATATAAATAAAAATTATATATAATCTAATTATTATATAAAGAAAGAGATGCAACTATACAACAATTGGACACAGGCTTATGTATAAAACTAATTTATTAAAATGCATTAATAAAATCAAATTAAACCAGTAAGCTTGCATACTTCCAATTATAAAACAGATCCAAAGCAATAAAACCTTGTATTATTAAGTAATGTTAAAATAAAAATAAATATTTGGTTGTAACAATAGACTTCAACTTTAGATTTTTAAATTACAACCTGTGCAGAATGATTTGCAAACAAATCTCACCTTCACAAAGAATTCCTTTAAAACCTTGACGACATTCACAACGAAGTTCATCTGATTCTGAAGAGCATGTTGCTCCATTTTTACATGGATGGCGATGACATTTATCTAGATCTAAATACACATATTTAATTTTCAGAAATAAAATTTGAAAGTAACTTTAAACAATATTAAATAACCTTTTATAAATCATTTTTAAATACTGATTAAAATGTCTTTGATTTTTAAATACTGATTAAAATGTCTATGATTAACAAGTTTTAAAAAAACTTGTAGAAAATAAAAATATTTTTTAAAATTTGATTTCAGACACAAGATAAAATATTTAAGCAAAGTAATAAATTATTATGCAGTATAAACCTTTCCAACACGTTAAATTGTATTTTACATCAACAACAATGTATATTGTATACATTGTATTTAAATTGCTTTTAGACTTAAAAAAATAGTAAAGTTATTTTTTAGTTATTTAAATTTAAGTTATTTTCAACAGTTACATTTTTTAATACATTCATTATTGTTTAATCTTTAACTTAAATAATGCATTTAGTTTTTACATAGAAAGTATAAATATGATTATATTAAGAAAAGTTATTTAAATAGATCCTGTATTGTTTTAAGTATTATAAATAATATATTATATTACAAAAGATTATATTAAAAAATGTTTATCTCAGTTCTTTCTGTAACTAAAAAAATGTTCTTCTGCAATTAAAAAACATTCTATAACAAACTTTTCACAGTTCTTACAATTAATTGTAAAAAGTCCTTGTAATTTAGCTATGCTCTAGTTCTTTAATCAATTGTAGATCTTTCAACTCCTCACATTTTGGTTGTCATTTGTAACTACATTTCATTAAAAAAAAGTTTAAGAATAGTTCATTTGTAGGGGCTTGAGTTGATTTGAACAACTTGGCTGTGAGAGCTAAATAAGTTTTGTCTATAATATACTAGTAATCATACAAAAAATTTATGAGCCAAATTAACAGATATCATTCTCAATACTTATTTACTCATGCAACCAAAAATAATATTCATCATTCACATTTATCCCAATTAAGAATTTCTGCAATATTTGTGTCTAGGTGAAGACTATTTTTTAAATTCCATACTCTTCATCAACTTTCATTACTCCTTCTAGAAGTCTCCATTGCATTTATGCTTATATAAACTTTTCAGTAATCATTAAACTTGTTTTTAGGGTTTTTGCTCAGTATTCAGTTTTTTTATTTTTATAATTTTTTCTTTATAAAATTTTCATACTTTTTATCTTTCCTATCATTTGACCACTCCATAGAATATGACTAGAAATATGTAGAAAAGATATGTAGAAAAGGTGAAAATAATTATTAAATAAACAATTAATGTAAAATAATGTATAAAAGTTTTAGGTAGAATGATTTAAACTTATACAATTGATAAAAAAAAAGAAAGGGCTGATTTAAATCAAACTATTCAACAAGTTAAAAATGCATTGTAAAAATATGTGTAAAATAAATCCTTAAATAATTTCAAGTATTACAAGTTAATAAAAAATATCTTTTTATTTGTTTATAACTATTAATATATTTATATAAATTAGTTAAATTTAAATTATAAAACTATATTTGTTTTTAGATTACATATACTCATTATTATATTTGAAAAAGGGTTATGCTATATCCATATAAAGAGAACTCATAAAAACATGAAAAGATGCACTTAATTAAAAAGTCTTTAATAGACTTAAAATCAACATATGAGATAGTAGTAGACTCACTTCATAAGAAGTTTCAAGTTTGATTCTTACTCTTGATTTTTTATGTCCCTGGTAGTACCACGTAGTTTCTTACTTCTTGATTCTTTTATCCCTGGTAGTACCACAGTCAACTTGTTTCTCTGCATAGTGGCCTTGTTCATCAGGGTTTGTGTTTTAGAGTTATAGAGTTGAGAGAGGATTGTAATCACAATTAAAGTAGCCTCCTCTACTGTAGTGACCTTCATGACCTTGGGGAGGTGAAATAACATAATAATAATAAAAAAAAAGAAAATAAAGAACTCTTCTAAGCACTTAGAAAAATTTTAAACGCATCCATATGTACTTAGAATGCATATTGTATAATGTATGCATAACTAAAATGATGACATGATAAAATTATATTTTGGTAAGAAAAATGTTAACAAAAATAACATGGTATGTTAATATGATTCCTCCTATTAGACTTACTGTTGTAATATATTATAGATCATCTGGGTCATATTGTAAAAATCTGGAAAACTGTTAGGGTTAAATATCCGGAAAAAATCCGGAATATATTTTCCCTTTATTTCCTCCTAACTTTTTTTTTGGCTAAGTTAGTTATTTCTGATTTTTTTCAAACTTTTTGTAATTTTTGTATAAGCGATGAGTGAAAAAGCTTAAAAATATAAAAAAAATATCTAAACTTGTATATATGGAAATTTTTTTGGATATCTAGAAAAACTTCAAGTTGAGAAAAATATCCAGAAAAAGACAATCCTTGAATATATATAAACTGTTTAGTAAAAATAGTCTGAGTAAAATCATTGGATTTTAGGAATAATTTGCAACATTTGTCTCATGTATAATAGCATACTAAAAAAAATATTTTAGAAGAGGCAACAAATAGCAGAAATATTTTTGTATTATTTAAGTATTTTTGTAGAGACAATTAATAACAGAATTATTTTAGCAGAGACAATAAATAGCAGAAGTATTTGCATATTATAAGTAGGAGGAACAATAGAATTTCTAAAAAGTAAACTTATCAACAAAATTAGTAATAAAATTAATTTTCAATCATGTTATTTTTAATATTTATGCAGTTAATAATTTAATAAACTTCTAACCATGTTATGTTGTGTTGCTATTAGTTAAATAAATTTGAAGTTAATATGTTCACAGCTGATTGATTACTAAACTGACGGACTTTGTAAAATTAAAAATAATAATAATAATAATAATAATAATAATAATAACCTCTTTTTGACTTTTTTTCAACTCTGCAATAAACAAATACTTTTACATCCACAAAGTAAACAAATTTTTACATTCACACAGTAAACAAAAAGCTTCACAACCCAATAGTAAGCAAATACCTTCACAATCTTACAGTAATACAACCAAACAAAAACCTTCACAATTCTAAAGTAAGCAAATACCTTCACAACTCAATAAACAAATACTACCTTCAGAGCAACACAGTAAACTAGTTTCACAATTACAATAAACAAACATCTTCACAATCACAATAAACAAATATGAAAACAAATACCTTCACAATTTTGTCCTTTATAACCAAGTTTGCACAAACATTTATATTTTTGATACTCTACTATACAGGTTGCTTCATTTAAACATGGATTTGTATCACAAGGAGAAAGTTCCTCTAAAATAAACAGACTAATGAAAAAATCATCAACAGCCGTATTCACTTCTCTTGTAATAATAATTTTATACATACTTGCACATCAGTAAAAAAATAAATATAAAAATAATGATTATAAAAAAATATATATATATAAATAAAACAAGTAAAATTTTCTGTAGTGTATCACATCTATATAACACCAAGTAACACCTATGAGTTATATAAACTTTTTTTATTATGCTAAAATATTATGAACTTCATTAACCTTCACAGTGAGTTCCTTTAAAACCATGCGTGCATTCACATTTAAATCCTTCTTCTTGATCAAAACAAATTCCATAGTTTAAACAAGGATTTGGTTCACATCGACTTTCCTCTGAACAATATAAATAATACTAATATACAAAAGAAGAAAAAATAGTTATATATAAAATAATAACATAAAACAAAAAAGTGTTACAAAAATATAGTTATATTGGAGTAAAAAAATTAAAAATATTCATGAATTTTTTGGAAGATCTAAAACTAATTTAAATTGTTCACACTGTAGTTGAAATATTTGAAATATTTATATAAAATTGAAATATATAATATATAATTGAAATGTCTATTGACAGATAATTATTTTCCATTGACAATTTTCTAATTAATAATTTTTTAAATTATCTGAAATATTTGCACTATTATTTATTTTTATATCAAAAAATCTATAAAAATTGTCTGTAAAAAAAAGGATTAAAATAGTTTGTTGTAAAACTTATTTTAACTATTTATAGCACAGTGTTATAAATAGTTAAAATATAACATCAAAAACAATGCAACACTCTCTTATAATGAGGGTACTTTACTATTTTTTGACACCACACACAACAAACCTTAAACTTAAAAAAAGTAGTTTGAATGTAGTGCATATTGACATAGTGTTTAGTTTATTGTGTATCATGAAATTTTTGAGTTTTTTCCTCAGCTATTTTTTGACCAATCAATGATTTTTGATACATCAATAATGACTGGTTTTACAGATTATTTACAACTAGTTTAAGTTTTTTTTCAATAATAATTTTTTGTTTATCTATTGCATGACATTAAATTTGTACATTATTTTAATTTGCTATTGCATTTTGAATCATATTAAAAAATTTTATGTGTACATAATATAAAAAAATTAAAAATTTACTAATCAAATTTGTACTTATTAATTTAAAATAAGTCAGCTTTACAAATGTGGTATTTATTATTTAACATTTGGTCTTTAACAAATATATATATATATAAAGAAGTGCAAATAAAAAGTTTTAAAATGATAATTAATACAAGGATGATTCAATTTTTAAATTTTTAAAATGCTAGTTAATGCTCATGTAAGGTTTATTTTTAAAAGTTGCATTGACTGATAAGAATTTAAAACAAAACTAATAAAAATAAATGTTTACCTTCACAATTGCTTCCTCTAAATCCATGTCTACATATACACTTATATGAAGTTAAGCCTTTAGTCAGACAAGTTCCTCCATTTAAGCAAGGTGAAACAGAGCATGGAGATGGTGATGCTATACATAAAGCAACAAAAAATAATTAAATACACTTTAAGCTAAAGCCTCAGATCATATATTTGGCCCTAACTCCCTACTTTCCCAGCTCTCATTATTATATTGATTGGATTAAATACAACTGAAATAATTGTAAGTGTCTATTAGATGAAATATTACACAAACATGGGTAAAAGAAAAACCAGTTAAGCTTTCTCCACCATTTTAATCTATACAATAATACAAACAAATAACCAAACACTTTATTTTTATTTTTTATTTAATGGCTTTTTTTACAAATTATACAATAAAAGCTAATTTAAAAGAAGAATTTAGAATTGAAAAAAGTTGATTAAAAAATATAATTGACAACATGGTTGAAAACTTTGCAATCATGTCATTTATTATTTTTTATGTTAGTTAATTATTATTTGTTATGTTAGTCATTTATTATTTTTTATGTCAGTTATTTATTATACTTTTTAACATTTTAATCAAAGCCCTTAAAACAAAATGAAATATCAAAATTTTGATTCACAAATAATTATCTTATCAGAATTATTTAAATTTTGTTTGAAATGACATAAAAATTTGGTTTAATCTTGGAAATCAATCAATCAAAGAAAAATTCTACAAGCCCTTTCCACAAGATCCTGTCATGGCTCTTTCCACAAGATCCTGTCAAATTTTGAATAATATAAGATATTAGTTAACAACTTTTCTTAAATCAAAGATTCAGTATAAACATTATACAAATAAGAAAATTGTGAAAAAAGCTTTAGCAAAAGAAATTTTTAAAGTTTAAATTAACTAGTTTTCAAATTCAACTGTATTTAAAATTTGATGTATAGTAAACTACATTATATCAAAACATTATTTTCAAATATTTAGTATAAAATAAATAAATTTTTTATTGAATGAATTGCTTTAGAATTGATAGGTTCATAAATTTAAATTCTATAATTATTAGCTTTATATGCATGTTAGCTTAGACAAACTTACTCTCACAATATTCCCCTGTGTATCCTCCGATGCAGTTACAAATACCATCATGACAATTGCCACCATTTTTGCATGGGTTTAAATGACATCTATCTTTAACTGAAAGCAGAAATAATAACAAAAATTTATATTAAGGTAACAAGTTTGTTTACAAAATCAAACCTGCTTTTTAGAGCCTGCATGGTTATAATAAAATATTCTGCAAACTTTAACTTTGCAATTTAAACCAGACACTTTTACCAACAACAAAAAAAAAAAGAGAAAGATTTTGTCTAAATAAATTTCCTTTACACATAGATATTTCTGCCAGTCATAGTAAAATAGAAAAATGCAGAGAATTCAGAACATACACCAACAGAGAATTTAAGTTAGAACAGGTAGTACCAATATATGAAAGGCATTTATTAGAGCAACAAAAACTTCTTTTTTTTCTTATTATAAATCTTGATAAAAAAACGGTCCGGAGTAAATTAATAGTAAATTCAAAACTGCCATTACAAAAGTGTTCAGATTATTTAAACCTTATTTTAAATAAACCATAGAAATTAAATTAAATTATAAAAACCCATAAAAAACTTCATAATGACTTGTGCCTTCTTGGTTGTGGAGACAATACTTTTTGTTATCTCCTAATGAGGCTACAGTTCTAAAACTTACTTAAATTATTCTGATGGCGCATGGCAGTAATTTTTCTGAAACTCTGTGGTACTTCTTAGAGAGACTGATTACATCAACAACTGTAAAATATCAGACTATTACCAGTGCCATGTTATGCATTGCAAAGATGTCCCGGTTAGTACTTTTAGTGTTCATTATAGAGACCACATAAAGAGACCTTTGTTACTACTAAAGATTGATTGGTAGAAATAAAACAATAGCCTATTCCCTTGTGTGTCATACACTACGATTGAGTCAAGCATTAATTTTTAAAAACATGAATAAATTACCTTAAAACATTTAAAACAAACAATAATTACCACCATACTGCTATAATCATTAACAAATAATCATGGCCTCTGAAAACTTTTCACCTGATGAATTTTTTTTGTGATGAAATTTGTCAGATTTGCTCATTAATTAGATGAAAAAAATTAGTAATTAGTTATTATTTAATTTCATTTTCAGATCTTAGTGCTAATGGCTATTATCTTTTGATTCGCAAAGACTCAAACAGCGTATATGTTTGTCAATAGATCATATGCTTGGCCGGGGCACATATTCATCAATTCATTTCTTAATCTCAAAATCAGGTTCCTAAGACTATTCTTTTACATGTTTTTGCTTTCTCTTCAATCAACTTTTTTTGTGTTCTTTATTATTCACCTTCTTACCAAGACTGTACTATTTTTGATGTTCTTTCTGATAAACTTGACCAAGGCCTTTCTGTTTATCCTTGAGCCAATATTGTTGTAATTGGTGACTTTAATATTTGTCACACTAAATGATTCGGCTCAACTACCACTGACTCTTCTGACTCTTCAAACTTCAAAATCTTTTTCAATCTCTAATTTAGACTTAATTAACTTTGTGACTTCCAGATAACCTTAATTACCTAAATTTTACAAAACTTCATGATTTTTTTCTCATCTCTTTGTTTTTATTTTTTTTCCACAAACATTGGTGCTTTTGAAATATCTAACATATTTATGTTTTCCTGACACATAGAACTTACAATTTTTTTAAGTATTCTGTCATGCTCTTTAATAATATTCTTTATTTTCTTATGAACCCCAACTTAATTATTTATTGCTTGCAAATTCCCTCTCAACAAGGTCGGGAGTGATTTCGTTATAAAAAAAATTTTGATGTAAAGTTGCAAAAACAAATTTGTCATTTTAATGCCGTATTTTTTATGCAAAGGAAATTTTCATCTTATTAATTTTTTTCTTTACGTCATATACGTCATCAATAATTTAATAATTATTTTAATTTTTTCACTAATGTCATCTTTGACTTCAATAAAAATAAGAATTGTTGTAAAAATTATAATTTTTTGGATTTTCCGTATTGCTAAGTAAAAAAAATGTTGTTTAAAATATAACTTCAAATAGGACTTGCAAAGGAAAAAACTTATACATTATGAAAAAATGAAACTTAATTTTTCAATAAAAGAGTAGAATGAAAAAGAATGCAGAGGTATCATATGCACATATATATATATATATATATATATATATATATATATATATATATATATATATATATATATATATATATATATATATATATATATATATATATATATATATATATATATATATATATATATATATATATCATATACAAATGAATCATAATTTTTTTTTTTTTTCCTTTTAATTTTTTGTTTATTTGACAATGAAAAAATTACTTCATTTTATGAGTCAAAAAAGTCAACAAAAAAAAAACTTAAAATAAAAAAGTAACCTTGGTAATAATTTAAATAATAATTAAAAAATAAGTTGTTACGGCAACCTCTTATTTAAACACTACCAATTATTCCATCAGTGTTGTGAACACGCCGGTAAAAAGTTACTATTGGTGTAATAAATGATTGAGCACCATTTTCAAGGCACAAACTGACAAATTTTCACTCAAAAAAAGCACTGTTAAGTTGAAACTTGCTGGTTTGTGTTTTATTAAATTAAAACTTAAAAGTTTGTGCTTTGCTGTATAAAAATTTGCTGGTTTGGCTGCTGTTAATGTGCCTTAGATTTTCGCAAATATGCAAGTGTGATTATAAGATTGCAAAGAAACGAAACAGCTAAAATGTTTCATCAACTTTTAAACAAAAAATGATTTTTCTTTAAGAGAATAAATGATACTGAAGAAACAAACATTATGCTTAAAAAAAAATTAGATTTTCAAGTTACCTTCACATCTTGATCCACTAAATCCAGGAAAACACATGCACTGAACAAGGCCTGAGAAACCAATACCTAAAGTAGCTGAGCATGTTCCCCCATTCAAACATGGGGTAAGATGGCAGTGATTTATTTCTAAATAAGGTTAACTTAATTATTAAAGTATATAATATAAATGTGAAAAATATATAAATACAAAAATATAAAAACAAACAATAACGCAGAGAAATAACTTTCATAACTTTTTAACTAATAATGATACCTGTGCATTCTTTTCCCAAGTATTCTGCTGGGCATATGCATTCATAGTCACCTATAAGCTCATTACAGGAACCACCATTTCGACAAGGATTTGGTTGACATCTGTTCATTTCTATATTAGTATTATTATATACAAATTTACATTTAGTAAACATAAAATATCTATATCAATATATATATATATATATATATATATATATATATATATATATATATATATATATATATATATATATATATATATATATATATATATATATATATATATATATATGATTGCTCTTTCTTCTATCATTACTGACATACGTTGACTGACTTAAATAGGTAGAACATGCACAGAATGTACATACATTGACTGACTTAAATAAAAAGAACATGCACAGTAGAGTGCAGTGAAAAAATTAAAAGTGGAATATTTATATGTAATAGCAAAAAAAAGTTGTCTTTTGGTAAGTGTTCAAACATTGAAAAGAAAATTTTCAAAAATTTCAATGTCTTCAGCTGCCTCATTGGGGACAAAGTTACTAAAAAGAGGTATTTTTTATGACAATTGAGTGTTTTAGTCAATTATTTTTTTTGATTAAAGATTATGCTTTTTGTAAAACTCTTTCAGAAAAAACTGTAATAATTAAAAAGAATGACATATATGTCATTCTTTTTTATCTAATATGAACATATTTCGATGACCTTTTAAGGTTATATATATTTCAAGGCGTGACACTTTCATGGGGAAAAGGGGGGCGGATTGAGATCAATGGACTAAAAAAATTTAAAATGTCAATAAGTACTACTTTAAACACCGACTTTGTAAAAATAAAAAAAGGTCTTTTTGAAAATAATTAGGGGACATGGTCCTCTGCGCTTCCCCTTATTTCTCTCCGTCACTGTGGCAGATTAGCAAGTTAGTAAGTCAGCAAGTCTATAACAAGTTAAAGGGTGAAACAAAAATATCTATTCATTAATTATTTTAACATACGCAATCAAGTTTTAGAAAATCTATCATTACACTCTACCAATTTATTGGTTCGGAAGCACATTATTCTGACTTAGTGTTAAACACTGGCATTATGAGACGTGCATGTAAACGCGATCAAATAAAACCATCTCGAGTTTTTTCTCCACATACAACCAGCGAAGCCTCATCAGCTGTCAATGGTGGCTCGGTTATTTATTTTATTTCCAGTTGATGAGTTCTATATAATCATGTGCATCTAAGTTAAGCTTTGGTAAACTGAAAGTACGCAGTGTGTGATTTTTTTTTCTGTCGCGTTTTAAAAATGCGCCTTAATCCTAAATCACGAATTTGTTGCCGTTTGTTACTAACAATTGCTAGTAAGAGATTTTCTGAATGAGCAAAATAGCCGTTAAGTTGTAATACAGGATCTACTATATCTCGCATATTTGCATGCAAAAGACAAACCAACCATTGCAACGATTTGTTATATTCTTTTTCCATCAACCTTATTGCGCTACCGTTAATTCCTATGTTTACGGCAGTTCTGTCATATCTAACAGCTACAAACTTTTTAACGTCAATATTTTTTATAGTTATAAAGTTGACTATAGAACTTTTTATCAAATAGACAGACGATCTAGATGGTGATAAATGCCCAAGGTATTTAGACCCTGGTTCGTCTATTAAAGAGAGTGCTCTTGAGTAATACTTCGTCGATAGAACTTTAACCCTTTCTTGATACCAAATTCCTTTCAACTTTAACCCTTCCTTGATGTTTTCAAGAGTTTTGTCTTTTCGTCCATCAAAATAAATTCCTCGAACTATTTTTGAATTTTTAGAAGTTTTTAGTTGATTACGCTTTCTCTTACGCTCCCGTCATATTTTGCTCGGATCAACAACATAAGAGGTATCTTGTTGATTAACAACACTAAAGTCTTCCAAAACTACATTTGCATTTGTATCTGAGATCCCATACCGGTCACAGACGTTTGCTAATGCAGCAAGTGGTTGCCGACATTGAAAATACAAAGAACTAATAATGTCAATGGAAGAAACATCGGAAATATTACGTTTATTAATGTAATTATCATCTTCATCACTTTGAGCTGTAGATCGACTTTCAAAATCACCAACCGTAGACACAGACAAGGCATGGCAATGCTTATTTCTACGCCGCTGCGAATCACCTTTAATACCCGTGTATTAGTAATCATCGGTTTTAACCATATTTTTTCAACAACTTGTGCAACTTTTTCAGAGATTTCTGTTATAGTAGGTTCTTTCGTAGCAGCTGTTGGTTTCAGTTGATGTTTTACAAGCAAATAATGTTTCATTACATCTTCATATGTTGGTAAAACAACTTGCGACATCTCTTTAGGTATACCAAAGACAGGACAAGTCAGCATCATCCTCGTTCTCACTAACCTAATGGCCATATTAAAACTTGTTCTATAATAAGCAAACTTTGTATTAGATTCATAAGTAATTATTGATTTATACATTAATCTAGCAAGCCATAAATAAAATTAAAAGCTAAACTAAAATATCAAACATTAGTAACAAGTTCTTGATATGCAAAGAAATATATTGAGAAGTATTAAAAGAAATATAATGAACCACTTAGATAATTATTTCTAAATAATAACTAAAAAGAGGTTAATAAAACACATTTTACGTCAATATAACATAAAGTTAACAAGTAGTTTAAAATATTTAATTTTAAACATTTATTGAACAGTTATAAAGGTGAAATAACCAAGATAACCAAAACAGGTTAGGTGAAACCAATGGCGAATTTAGACTTTTCAGGGCCCTTTTTTATGTGTCAGAGCGTGAAGATGACTAAAAAAAAACTTTTTTTTTTAAAGTTGATTTTAGGTGCCCCAAGAAGTCCTTATGGTCTTATCAGAGTACCGCGGAAGAGCATTTAATAGGAAGTTCACGCCTCCTTCCCAACCGATGTCGCAAAACTTGCTTAGAGGTGGGGTTTGAACCACGGATCTTACATTTCTGAGGCAAGTGCGCTACCACTGCGCCACAGCTGCTTAACTTCTCTTGAATCTTTTGGGGGCCTGGGGCTATAGCCCCTAGCCCCCACCCCAAACTAGCCCCCTTAATAGAAACTGGGTGAAACAATGCTGTTAGTAATTAGGCTTAGGGTATTGATAAAGAAAAAAATACAGTTTTTTATTTTAAAAAGTTATGGCTAAAACAGGCTGTTTTCATGAAAAATACCTATTTTTCAGTAACTTTGACCCCCTTGAGGCAGCTGAAGACATTAAAATTTTGAGGAAATTTTATTCACTTTATTTGAACACATATCAAAAGGCAACTTTTTGTTGCTATTACATATCAATAATTTACTATTTATATTTTCACCTAAAGTTTCACTGCACCCTAATGCACAGAGTGTACATACATTGACTGCTTTAAATAGGTAGGACATGCAAAGATATATATATATATATATATATATATATATATATATATATATATATATATATATATATATATACAAATATGAATTAAAATTTTATTGACCTTGACAGTTAATTCCTTTAAATCCTTCTGCGCATGTGCAAACATACTGTCCATTTGATTCTGTGCAAACGCCTCCACTGTGGCATGGGTTTGGATGGCACTTATCCTCCTCTAAGATGAAGTTGTACAGACAAATTAAATAATGCAAATTAAATTAATGTTAACCTTTTTTTTGTTTTTCAATTAATTTACTATTTTTGTTTTCTTATTTTATTTTATAATTTCTAATCTATTGCTATTTATATTTTCAACATTTTTTCAATGTTTAACACATCATTTTTAAATTTTTCACCAGAAAATAAGTAATGAAATAATTTTAATTAAACATTTTAGTCACAATAAATAATTTTAATTAAACATTTTAGTCACAAGTAAATAAGTTTTGACATTTTAGTCCTTTTCAAAGGTGAATCAAAAAATTTAAATTTTGGTAAAAAAAAGTTAAAAAATAATATAAAGATTTTTTAATTTTTTTTTCAATAAAAAAATTTTCAATAAAATATGCAAACAAGTTTCAGCCAAATTAAAAAAAAGGAATTTTATTTAATTCATTTGAATTAAAACTTAAAATATGATTTTGCTTAAGTTTTTTTTATTAACTTATATACTAAATTATGCTATTTTCTAAGCTCTAAATATTAAAATTTAGATTAAATAAATAAAGTTAAATGAATAAAAAAAATCAAATAAAAGATGTTATCTAGGTTTATTATGTTATTAGATTATTAAGATGTTTCTGAATCAACAATAAAAACTTTTTTAATTTAAAATTGTTAAAAGTTATTGCATTTAACTATTGAAACTTTAAACTAATTAAAAATTACCTTCACAGTCTGTTCCTTTAAAACCAATAGGACAAATGCACTCATAACCATCCCTTACTTCATTGCATGTTGCCCCATTCATACATGGGTCACCATCACAATGTCCTAATAAAAATCGATTTATAAAAACCATTTTGTACAGTGTTTTTTTTTTTTTTAAATATGCACAGAAAAATATTTAGTTCATTTTTTTTCTTCAAACATCATAAAAAATTATTTTTCTTTAACTTTATATATCAATAATAATTTCACTTTTTGCTTATTTTATTATTAATTTGGTTTTGAAAGGAATACACATACTGGAAAATTTTATTAAAAAAAAAATATGTGCACAAACTTTTTAATTGATTTCCATTCTATTTTCTTTTCAACCCATTTGTTTTTCATAAATATTTTATATTAATGTTGCATTTATGATTTTTTTAAATAACTGTTCATCATAAGCATAAACTGTTCATCATAAGCATAAAATTGCTTATGATGAACAGTTTATTTTAAACATTCCTAAATATTTCAAATTATGGTACATAGAAATGGATTGAAATGCAGTAAATGAAGCAACTAAGTGGCATGTAATAAGTATGAGGGTTGGCTCCATGATTAGTTACAGAGATTATAAATTTACGCAAGAAGATTATAAATTTCAGAGAATTACATCAGAAATATTATAAAAACATTTGAAAGGACAGGTGGCATCTAACATCATTCAAAGATCCAGAATGTTAAAAACTACAAAATGCAGAAACAGTCTATACATCTAGTTAAAAAATTTAATATATAACTTTTCAATAGGTTAATTCTTGCAGTTAAGTTAACTAAGCTACTTATACTATTATTATATATATATAATAAGACTTCTAAATTAGTTTTTTTTTTTTTTTTTTTTTTTCATTTAATAAAAAGTATTGATATTGACATAATCAACTTATTTTTGCTTTTGCATTCATTAAAACTCTCTTCCAGCTCTCTGAATCTTAAGTCAAGTCAAAAAAAAAAAGGAAAAAAAAAAAAAAAAGAAAAGAAAAGAAGTTCAAAATCATTTTTAAAAAAATCACCAAAAAAACTTCCTCTTTTTCTTTCTTAGCTCATTTCATAAAGAAACAGTTAATCAATGCAAAGAAACACTGCACTTAGTAAATCACAATTATGTTAAAACATTAACTAAGTTTTTTTGGACTTAAAAAGAACTAACTTTAGAACTATATCAAAATTTACATCAAAAATTCATAGACTATTTTCAGACCAAATGGAGGAGAAAATATAAAATAATTTCTTTAAAACAATTAAAACTATATATAGGTGCCGAGAATTTTATAGAGTAACTTCCATAAGCATCTAGACTAAAACTAGAGAGGAACTAATTCATAATTTTTAGTTCATTTTCTTTAAAAACATAAAAGCTATTTTAAAAAGAATAATATATAACAATTTTATTCAAACACACACATATTAAGTAAAAAGTAATTATAAATGTAAAAATAACAAAATTTAAATAGATTCAAAAGAATTTCTTGAATAGATAATAACTTCAAAATTTTAGTGACAATATGTTTAGGGCTAACATAGGAACAAAATCATTAAAAGATTTAATAGTTTTGAGAAATAATAAGAACATTCTTAGAGATTATAAGAAATAATAAGAACATTTTTAAGAGGTCAAAGATTCTTCTCCACTCTTTATCTTTACATTAACTATGTCGTCTTAGACGAGATTAAAACTCATATGTATTAATAGGTTCCAAATTTTAATTAAAAAAATTTCGATGTTTAGATTTATATACATTTAAAAGTTTTAACAAATTATAAATAAAAAATATTAACTTTTTATTGGAAATCTATCAAATTTATTATTTATTTGCATACACATAATTAATATCCTAAATAAATAAAACATAACAAACAAAAGACAAAACTCTGATATTGTCAATGAGAAGAGCTTCTTTAAGTCCTCAAGTGGACAACTTCGATTGTTTAGTGATGGTGATAAAAATAATTTAGAAGAATTGTCAACCTTCAATATGTTGAAACATTTGTATAAAAACATTGCTGAAAACAGATCTAAAAACTTTCCATGCAACTTAACAAAAATGTTGTACAACTATTTCTTCTGGTTGAGATTAGTGAGCTTTATGTATTTGAACTCCTATTCCAGAACTTTATTTACTAAAAAAACTGATAACTTAACAAAAAACCTAATTACTACCTAAAAATAAAAACATAAAATTTGGTATATCATTATACCCATAATTAATATACAATATAATAATAGAGATTGACTGAATAGAAGAAATGCTAACAAATTTCAGAGACTTTTTTCCAGGTTTGGATAAATTTAATTAAATATTTATTTTTGTTTAAATAAATACTTTATTATATTATTATATTTTTTATTATTATATTTATTATAAATATTTTAATATTTTATTAAACTTTAATTAAATATTTATTTTTGTCTTGTCATCAAGTTGTAGAAATGTGACTCACAAAGGTGAAAAACTGGCCAAAAACAAAATTTAAAAATAAATAGTTTAATATAAAAAATCATTTTAAAATATTGCAATGGCAATATTTTAAAATGATTTTTTATATTAAACTATTTATTTTTAAATTTTGGCAATGTGCTTAAATACTTACAAATATGTGTCTAGGTAGAAAAAAAAAATGTTGTGAACTTTGTGTAACTTTTCCAACATTGTAAAATTTTTATTACAGGCAAAGAATAGTAAAAAAGGTTTTGATGCTCATAAGAGTTTATCTATAAATAATAAACAAGAATCCAAAATATACTTAGCATGTTTTTGAAATTTATTATTTAATTTTTTCACTCTAAAAAACCACATAAAGAATTAAAATTTATTATTTTTTATTAATGATAAAAAGGCATTATTTTAAATTGCCTTTAAGTGCCTATCTTTTATTTATGTTTTTATAATTGTCAGAAACAACTCAAAAAAATTACTGAAAAAATCAGCTACCTTAACTTGTTTTATTGTCCTTAATGTAAATGTCAAGCCACTAGGTTGCTTATTTTCACTATCATGTTTAGTTTAAAAAGCATTACAGAACCAATAAAAATTAGTTCATGTTTCTTAAAAATTTTTCAAATTTCAACTTTTAAAATATTTTTTCATGAAATTAGGTTAGTAGTCCCAAATTAAATTAACTTTACTTTTTTAAGAGCTGGAATTTCAGGGTTATAACATACGTTTTTTATAAAACTTTGAATTTCTAATATTTCTATGCTCTTGGTTTATTTTTTTTAATATAACTTAAACCTAATTCCTTTTTGTTTTCTTCCGATGAGACTTCAGAATATTTGGTCAACCACTCTAGATGCAATATAATATCCCCTTCCGTACATAAGATACCAGAACATGGCAGTCAGGTGACCAGCAAAGTTTAAATTACCTATTGGAGCTTACTCTGAGGAAGGAAATAGAAAAAAGTTATAATGCAAGGCTCTCTATCACTTTTGCGAAATCAGTATACTGAATGTGAATCTGAAGAACCAAAACCACCACCTAATAATCAGGACAAATCTATGTGTCTTATGTAAACTTTTGTCATTCATGTGTCATACTTAAAATTTTTTTGCTGTTGCTAGCGCAATGATATCGTTGCTTTAATTTTTCTCTTGACATTGCAGTAGTGATGTCTAATTGGTTGATTTTTTACTTTGATTTAACAAATGAATAAAAAAAAATAAGAATAAAAAAGAATAAAAAAAAACCAAAGCTTTAAATGATGAACTCCTCAACGTCTATCCTTATATCAGTCGATGTATGTTTGATCAGGGTTCTAATTCAGTTTTTGGAGTTATATTATGTAAAATTTTTGTGTTACATGCAAAATGTATTTTACTTTGTACGTACTAGTACTCCTGTGACTTCAAATGAACCAATCAGACTCGACTACCGTGACTTTTGGAGGAAAGTTTAATGTGATTTTTTATGGTTTTATACATTTTGTTGTTTTTTTACTTCTCTGAGGCACTGCGCGAGTACCCAACGAGCAAAACTCCCTGTCTAAAAGAATAAATTGCTTTAAAATGGCCTAGTTTACTTGAAACAACTTTTCACAAAAACTGACTCTTTTTAAACCAAATATTCTTAAAACTTAAATTGATAAATACAAGTTTATCAAAAAAAAAATTCATTTTATAACATCTTTTTTTTTTTTATTTCATAACATCTAGACAATTTATAAACAAAAAATTTATTTTATTTAAAAAATTTTACATCCGCATTCCTCATATATATGAACATACATATATATATATATATATATATATACATATATATATATATATATATATATATATATATATATATATATATATATATATATATATATATATATATACATATATATATATATATATATATATATATATATATATATATATATATATATATATATATATATATATATATATATATATATATATATATATATATATATATATATATATATATATATATATATATATATATATATATATATATATATATATATATATATATAACAACATAATAATACTAAAAACGTAATTAAAATATAACCATGTGGTTAATTTTAATATTTCTTGGGTATTTATTGTTTAACAACTGGCAAACGAAATCGACGCTACTAGTTTATTTTACGCGCACCCATGGGAAAAGCCAATAAGCTTGATTCTTTTTTTGAGACAACTACTTGTGTATAGATTTCTTCTTACAGTGTTTCAGGTAACATCTTTAAGATTATTGAATCCTTTCTTTCCGATTGTAGTATAAAAGTTTTCCTCAATGGAAAGCATTCTTCTTCTTATTCAGTAATTTCAGAGGCTTCTCAGTGTTCTATCCTAGGCCGTATACTCTTTTCAATTTACATTAACGATCTTCCAGATATTCTCACTTCTGCTACAGCATGGGGCTCACAGTGGCTGGTGAACTTTAATTCAGATAAAACCCAATTTTTTTTCAGCCAATTGTTATCGCAATTATCTAGATCTTCCTATATTTATGAACGGTAATGTACTCGATGAGTCATCCAACCTTTATCTTCTATTTTGATTAACTTTTACTTCCAATCTTTCTTTGAAACCATATATCAAATCTATTGCAAAATTAGCATCTGCTAAGGTTGCATCTCTGTTTTGTACTCTCTACTTTCTTACTCTTTATCTCTATAGAACTCAAACCTGCCCATGTATGGAATACTGTTGCTATTTCAGGGGCGGATCTTCAAATGATGCTCTTTCTCTTTCAGACAAGGTGCAAAAACGCATTGTGAACATAGTTGGACCTGCTTTTGCAGCCAACCTCCAACCATTATCACCTTGTCGTAATGTTGCTTCTCTTTCTATTTTCTATAAATGCTATAATGGGTACTGCTCTAAAGAAATAGCACCTTATGTGCCATCTACTAAAATTCATTCTCGTATTACTCAACATTCAATAAGTCTCACCCGTTTACTGCGACTGTTCCTAAGCGCTCCAAAAATTTTTATTTGTCTAGTTTTTTCCTCGAACATTAATTCTTTAAAATTCGCTTCCTTCATCTTGTTTTCCTGATTCGTTTAATTTGCAATCTTTTAAATCGTCTGTCAAATCGAAATCTTTTAAGTCGTCTGTCATAAACTTTTTCTTTTCTTTTCCAGTAACTCTAACAGTGCTTGCAGCTTTGTTGGAAGCAAAGATTTTGGAAAAAAAAAAAAAAAATTGAGACATCTATTTGAAACATCTATTTAAGATAGGTTAATTTTTATTAACAATTTGAGACATCTATTCAAGAATTTGCTATTAACTATTAACAATTTGATAATAATTGCTATAAATAGTAGATGTTGATAATAATAGCTATAAATTATAGTTAATAATAACTATTAACAACTTGAGAAATCTATTTAAAAATTCGCTGTATCAAATATTTCGGATTTGATGTCACTAGTCTGAAAATTTAAATAATTAATATCAATTCTTGAAAATTTGGCTTTGAATAGTAATAGTTTCGGAAAAGAACTGGACTTCCAACGGACATTTGTTTTTAAAAGTTACGTTCTAAATGTCTTTTAAACGTTTTTTAAACTTTTTTTACCTAAGAATGTTTAAAAGACGGTTAAAAGACATTTAAAATACATTTAGAACGTAACTTTTAAAAACAAATGCCCGTAGGGCTAATTCTTACTTTTATGCGTTTAATAAAATTTTGCGTTGCAAAAACATGTTTGATGTCTAATTTACGCTGCAAAAACAAGTTTGATGTGAAACAATGTTCTCTTTAAAATCCTAGCCATACAAGAAGTCTTTTAAACTCAATTTCAGTTAAACTTGCAATTTCTTTTTCAGTGTTTTTGTTGCTGGCTTTTGTATGTATAGTAACGGATTAAGATTTTTCGAGGTAAGGGGCTATTTTAAAGCAAAAAGCTCCTTTCCACAACATTAATCAAATAATTTTCAAAGAATTTTTTTAATTTTATTTTGAATCGAAGCCCCCAAAACTATTGAAGCCGATGCAATAGCCTCCTTAGCCTCCTCATTGGTTATATACCAACAAATATTATTTTGGAGGCAACAATATTTTGTTCTATTTTGGTGCACGTTTCAAAGCATCACATTGAGTTATTTTTGAATTACATTGAGTTTTACTGCATCACATTGAATCAATAATCATTCTGTCTAACGTTCATCACGTTATCATTCTATCTACACGCTCTATTAATTATCATTCTATTTACACGTTCTCATAATTATTATTCTGTTTACACGTTCTCATTATGAGTTATTACAAAATGAAAAAAAATTAGAACCCCAATGAAACTCTAAGATTAAAGATTAGAACCCCAATGCAAAACTTTCTTGACTTGTTAATCACCCATCACCATTAACTGGTGGAGCTGTTTTTTGTTTGTATTTTGTGTTTTTGACAATGTATAGTTGATACTGACATAAAAAAGTTGTTAAGTTTCAACTTGATTGTACAAATTTTTAGCTTGATCGAGCTACAAACAACTTTGTATTCTATGAAAGATAGAAACTAAATGATCGAATTGGTAACAACTTTGCATTCTATGAAAGATAGAAACTAACTGATCAAATTGGTAACTACCCTAAGATAACCAAGTTTAAAAATATCTTTTGGAATATGTCACTTTTTATTAATAAACGTAAATATGAGTTTCTAATTTTCGTTTTGAGGACCTTTTTTATTTTTTTTTTACAAGACAGTCGGTACATTTTGAAAATTGACCCCCCACTCCTCTCTCATTTTATTCGTAGAACCGCTTCTGTCAACAAATAACCAACTTTGATTCTTATTTGTATTTTGAGGTTTATCGTTATAATAAAATAAAAAATTTTAGCCGATACAAAAAAGTACAATCGATTTTAATTATTTTATTAAAATTTCAAACTTGTTTATTGACCTTTGTATTCTTACTTTTTTTTAATTGTAATTTCATTATAAATTTTTTAATATTTACTTTACAATATTTTCTAATCACACATTATTGACACTATTAGAACATTTTGACATTATTTAGTTACTACTCTGATAATCGTAGCCGTCACAGAAACTTAAGTTTTCCTAGGGAACTTTTTACAAATATCCGGACGTCCATACGGGGAAGCGTCCCTACAGGGTAGTTATAGCAAATTATTTAAATGAAACATTTAATTAACTTTTATATCACTTAAATAACTTTTACACAAACAGGTTTATCGAGTTGCTTTTTTATTTGAACAAAAACTTAACTTTCAATTATAATAAAGAGTTTTTACAAAATGTTGCAATTAATTTTTTATCATTTTTAAAACTGTTTAAATTTATAAAACTATTTCACAAATCTATTGTTTTAAAAATCTATTTCATATACAGCGATTAAATAAAAAAATTTTTCTTAATTAAGAAAATTAAGAAAAATAAAAACATTTTATTTTTCTTAATTAAGAATTTTAAGAAAAATAAAAACATTTTATTTTTATATCAAATGGGTATTTGTGTATATATGTATGCATGTATGTATGTATGTACGTATTTATGTTTGTATGTATGTATGTATATATATATATGTATGAATGTATGTATATGCATGTATATGTATGTATATATATATATATATATATATATATATATATATATATATATATATATATATATATATATATATATATATATATATATATATATATATATATGTATATATGTATATATATATATATATATATATATATATATATATATATATATGTATATATATATATATATATATATATATATATATATATATATATATATATATACATATATATATATATATGTATATATATATATATATGTATATATATATATATATATATATATATATATATATATATATATATATATATATATATATATATATATATATATATATATATATATATGTATATGTATATATATACAGGGCCGGTGCTAGTATTTTTTGGTTTTTGAGATATATATTTATACTTATGTCAAATAAGGATGCTTTGCAAAAAATTGCGATAATTGGAGCTTGGAAACAAAATAGCCCCAAAATTTTTGCCTAGTCTGCCCCAAACGTGAGAGCAACAAGTTGATAAAATATTTTTTGTACTATTTTCAACTAGGCTAATATTCATCGATAAACTTTAAGTTTTATAGTATAATATCTTAGTGTTTAAAAATTATAACAATATAAAATTTGCTACCCCTCAAATTGAGGGGGGTTTAAACATAGCGCCGGCCCTGTATATATATATATTTATATATATATTTATATATATATATATATATATATATATATATATATATATATATATATATATATATATATATATATATATATATATATATATATATATATAAACTATGTTTTAAAATATAAAATATCTGTTGAAAATTGAATTTAGTTTTTAAAAACAAAGCTATTACCCTCTTCTCTACTATCTTCCATTTCAAAACCTTCATCTCCTTCTTGCATTATTTGTTGTGGAGGCAAAATAAAATGTCCGTTTCTATGACCAGCCCCAATAAATGATGCACCTCTATAACGGTGTAAAAATGTATTGTAAGGAACTACCATTGGTGGACGAGGAATGTGTGTTGTAACAATAGTTTTTTGTGTCATTGGAGGAGCTTTCATATAAACATAACCGTTTCTTACAACAAAACGAGGTCTTGATATAAACTGTCTTTTAGACTTATGACGTGGCAAAGGGATGTTTTTTCGTTTTATAACCTCTGTGTCATAATGAGTATGGGGAACGTTTATGTCAGTTGATTTATTTAAAAATGATTTTATGTATTTTTTCTCAGCAGAGCCAGAAATTTCTTCTGATACAGAGCTATGCGAGTCAGGCTCAATGTTATATGCATCATTTCCAGTAGACTCAGATATTCCACTTTCCGATTCATCTTCTGTCTCGTCTTGGACATTTTCTAATGAAATATTTTCATTACCATCAAGAGATCCTGATCCTGAACCATCCGACTCACTATAACCATTTTCATCTTTATAATCAACAAATTTTTCTTCATTTTCATTTTGGTTTTCAACATTTGCAATTGAATCTAAAAGTACATTTTCTTTAATGTCTTCCTTTTTAAGAATTGACTGACGTCTATCGATTGATGATTGACTTTTAATGTCGTGTTCATTCGTTTTAACAATATTTCCCTTTTCATTTTCTCTACTTTCAGAATTTTGCAGATTATCAACTAAATACCCATTATCAATCAAATACCCATTTACTTTTATTGGAGAAAAAAAATTAAGGTTGAAAAGTAAGCTTAAAAAGATGACGTCAGTCAAGCGATTTTTCATTGTAATTTCAGAAAACCACTTTCTAGCGAAATCCACATCGATTCGTCTAAACTTAAAACACAAATTAATTGTTTTTTGTTCCAAAATATAAACGGAGTTTTACGTATATTAAATTTATTAGCGAAACTACATTGAGTATGAAGTTTAACTTAAGGCGAGTTTCTTTCTCTACACACCACGGTAATTGTTCAAGAGCGTGATCTGAGAAAATTAATACGCTTGATTTGCTTTATTCCTAAAGTGCGATTATATCTGACCTTCGAAAATGCAATTAGTGCAAAACTTTTTTCCTAAAAATACCTAAAATAAGAATTTAAGTCAAAATTAATAATGCACAGCATAAAAATAATATTGCTTAGCTTAAGAGAAAGTCTTAAAAACTTTCTTTAAAAACTCTATCGCAAATAGTGTTACAGTTTTTAAGTCGGTTGATGAGTCGGTGCAACTTTCATTTAAAAAGCAGTCATAGTATTATCCAAGTGTTTGTGCAAATGGTGTTCTGCTCATGCCGTGCAAATCAGAACCGGATTGTGACGTTGAGACGCAATAAATTGAATTATCATTAAGATAGTAAAATCAAATAACCTAGATAAAAAATTTATTTTTTTATCTGGATTAGAAATAACGGGTGGCAATTTGGACGGGTAAAAATTTAACTGGTGGGAGTTTCCAATGCGGAAATTTGCATTTAATACAAAAAAGCTGAATCAAAACTTCTTGATCTTAAAAACCAAAATTTATTTAGTATTTTTAGCATTTTTGCGTATGAGAAGCCATGCAAGCGGTGGCTTAATTTGTATTAATGTAATTTATGGGGTACTATACCAAAAAATTAAAAAGAATAAAATCATTTTATTTTTATATCAAATGTGTGTCAAAGTTAATAAAGAACAAAAATCCAATATTAAAAAAAAATTGCTAAAGAATAACTAAAATATATGCTTAAGAGCCGCTTTCTGAGAAAAACAGTATAAACCATAATATATAAATAATATTCATAATACTAACTTTAAACTTCCATTCTTTTGTTGTTAATGTTTTATATCCTTTTTATTTATTTGAAATTTAAAATCTTAATGAATAAAAGTTAAAAACAATAATAATAATAATTTTTTTTTTTTTCTCTCTCTCTTTTTATGTATTTTTTTGCATATATTATATTGCGATGTTACGAAAATGTGTAATTTAATAACGGAACGTAACTTTTTATATATATTTAAATTTTAAAGGGGCTTGGCGATAAGACTGAATTTGTCTTCTTCTAGCCCCAGCTGTATATTTACATTTTGTGATAAATAAATTTGTGATAATAAAATTTTTTTTCATGGTGAAATACATACTAATAAATAATAATAATAAACTATAAATAATAATAAACTAAATTTGAAGACAATGAAACCACTATATCACAGGTTCCTTTATATATAAAGTATATAACTTTCAAAAAAAAAAAAATTCAAAAAAACTGAAAAAACTTTTTCTTTGTCTAAAAATGTGTAATTTTAATTGTTTAAAAAAATTGAGGGGGTGTCGCTTATAAAAATACTTAAGATTCAATAAACTGTCAAAACATGTTTTAAGTAGCGTTTAAAAATCAGGCATCATGAGAAATGGAAAAAGGTCCTAAGATTGAATGTATATATTTTCTATTACTCCATAATACCATTCTATTAATTAAATCTACTATAAAGTAGTAAAAAAAATGTTATAATTACTCATTTTCATTACATATGAGGGGGAGAGGGGGACATTTTTTAAATTTTTTTGGTTTCCAGGCTCCAATCACCGCAATTTTTTGCAAAGCATTCTTATTTTACATAAGCTTAAATAAAAAGGGACAGCTTGTACCGGGCGGCAGATGCCTAAGGGGCGCCAAATAAAAAATTTTCTGATAAAAAAAAAGTTCATTCACTAATAATATAGGAAAATTTAAAAAATAGTGGCACTAATCAAAGTTGCTGTCCCAGACGGTGTGAAGGCTCTGGCCACCCCTGATCCTTATATGTCGCTTATTTTAATGCATTGTTGCTTGAAATTCATTTTAGAATTTTCCAAACTTTTATTTCTACAAGCTTATTGATCCGATGGCGATCACAAATAATACCGAATATGTATTATAACTTATACTTTTAAGATCTTAACCGTTTTTTACATTAACTATATCATTTATATTTTTTATATTTTTGTATCAGAAAATCAACAACAACAAAACTCTATTTATACAAAATTTTCGTTAAATAACAAAAAAACACTATTGTTCAAAAAGTCGCCAAATAATTGTTATTTAGTTTATTTACTTGTTCTTTATAGTGTGGTATTGGAATATTGTTTTTCTTTTATGCTAATTCAATTTTCTTCCAATCATTCTCCCCCTCTTTGATAGACTCCAGTCTATCTAACATTTTTAATTGTCAATCTCAAGAGGACACAATCTCGTAATTGATCTTATAAATTCTTTTTCGCCAATTTTAACTTTCACAACTCTTACACGTCCATTTATACCTTCAAAGACTTCCGTAATTCTACTAAGCGGCCAATGTCCTCTAGGTGTATCTGGAGAAATTTCTAGCACAATGTCATCAATTTTTATTTAGTGTTTTTCTTGATTATATTTATATCTTTTAGATAAAGATGGAAGCCATTCTCGCATCCATCGTTTCCAAAAATGATGTAGTAATTCTTGCACTTGACGCCAGCGTATTTTAGGATAATAGCTTTTAGATTGAACTGAGACAGGTGCATATTGTCCTCCAACTTGCGCAATCAAAAAATGATTTGGAGTTAATGGAATATCATCTTTTATATCGCCACTCTGATACATTAATGAGCGAGAATTCGATAAACTCTCAGCACCTTTAAATACCGTACAGAGTTCTTCATCTGCAATATTGGCTTTTTTGAGTATCCCAGTCACTGCATGTTTGACAGCCTTGATCATTATTTCAAATACACCACCAAGATGAGGTCTTAGCAGAGCATTAAAGTGCCAATTGAATCCTATATCAGCTGTAGAGTTAGTAATTTTATCCTTGTCTAAGTTGTTAAAAATTTCTTTTAGTTCTCGACATCTTTCGACAAAATTTGTTCCATTGTCTGTTAAAACTTCTAATGGTAATCCTCTTGTTAGTAAATCAGCAACATCAGTTTTTGTTGATATGTATCTCCATTGTTTTAGTTCAGTTTTTAATTGAATGAATCCAACGCGGTTGGCAATAAATGGTTTCAACTTTCGACTTTAACTTTTTATCCACCATAAAACATTAAGACTATCACACCATATAGTCACGTCCTTAGTTTCCAGCTTCAATGCTTTGACAATCTTCTCTGCAAGTCGTAAACGGAGGATAGCTCCAAGTAACTCAAGTCTTGGTATACTAATAAATTGCAATGGACTTACTCGGGCTTTTGACATTATGATCACACAGGTCTATTCTCATGTGTCATATAAACATTGTTGATAAGCAACAGCACCGTAAGCTTTACAAGACGCATCCGTAAAAACGTGGATTGACCTATTTGTAACTGTTGAAGTTGTTTGTAAACATCTGGGAATGTTTATTTTTGGGAGATTGTTTAGTTCTTGAAACCATTGATCAACATTGTTTGCAATCCCATCCGGAATTGAATCATCCCACTCAATTCCATCAATCCACAATTCTCGCATAATTATTTTGATTCGAATGATATATGGTGCTAAAAAACCCAATGGATCGAACAACGTTGCCATTTTTTTAAGCAAAATTCGTTTTGCATAAACCGTATTTTCTTCGGTTGCAACAGAATGAAAACTAAATAAATCAGGTTTTGCTTTCCAGACAACTTGAAGTGTTTTCATTGCAGGCAATTCTCCAGATTCTAAATTTATATGTTCTGCACGATCCTTTTCTGGTGTTATCTTAAGAACTTCGACCGAGTTTGAAAGCCACTTTTGTGCAAACGTTCCTGCTGAACCCCATAGTATTGTGAGTTCCTTGTATAATTGATTTCCTACTTTTTCATTAACTACAGATATTATTGTGTCATCCATGTAAGTCGCTTTAAGAGCAGCTTCAGAAGCCAAAGGAAATTTTTGTGCATACTTTCTTGTGTGCTCTTGCGTTACAAATTGAGCCATAAAAGGCGCTGTGTTGATTCCAAATACCAGTCGATTAAACTGAAACCTCAGGCTCGGCAATTGGATCTAGGTTTCTCCATAAAATTCGTTGGTACCTTTGGTCATCTTTATGTATTCCAATTTTTAAATACATTTCTGCTATATCACAAGCTAAAGCCACTGGGTATTTTTGAAATCTCAGGAAAACAGTCTTGTTGAAGTTTTAGACCTTGATAAATTCTTTATATATATGTATATATGATACGTATATATGATATATATATATTATTTTTTTTTATTAAACTAACGTACTACATTTCAGTAAAATTTAGACATTATTTTGAAGAATTCCATAATTTATATTTAAAAAAAATCTAATTTAGAAAAAAAAATTACCTCAGTATCAATAATATCAAATATAAATGTTGCAATAGTTCCAATTACACCAATAAATAAGTTTGCAATTATCATCACAATGTATGCATTGCTTGGTACATTAAACACAAACGACATTGGATACATCATTGGTATAATAGACCACCTAAATTTTTTTACAGTTATGATTACAATAATTGCTTCATTGAAATTATTTAAAAGTTGCGGTTGCTTTTTTATACAAAAGCTACTCACCCGTACAAAATAAATAAGAGCAATGTAGCTGTTAAAATACTGACCTCTTCTCCAAGGTTTGTCTGTGAAGATGTTTTTTAGCAGTAACTTGCTGTTGTACCTTTGATGATCTGCTACTTAGGTGGCTTAAATTTGGTGGCTTAAATTTTTATCTTTTTATAACTGACTCAAAAAGTCGTTTGTAGTTTTTATAGTTGCTTTCATTATATAGGGTTTTTCCTTTAAGAAATTTATTATATAATCGTTGTTTTTCGATGTTAATTTTGATCAAATTGACACAGAATTTAAGTTATCTTTACCTATTTGGACAAACAAACATTTAACAAAAATTAACAAAATTTGGACAAAAAAACATTTAATTGGAGTATTATTCATCAAACTATTGTTATTATTTAGATATATAATTTACGCGTATAAATGGTTAGTTTAGATTTTATTTGAATAAAAACTAAACATGTTTAAAAAAATATATTGGCAAATTATGCCGTTAGCTTGATTTTCGAATATAACGCCATATATAACGCCATTGGAGAGCGATATAACTGCATTTTGCTGTTATA